ATGCTACTTAATCTAGACTGCTACGGAACACTCCTGCGCAGATTGCCAGCGGTTTTGAACTTACAGAACTTACAAAACTTTCGAAAGATGGAAAAAATTGGTTGGATTATGTGTAATATGTTGTATTTAAAGAGAAAATAGTAATAAATTAGGTAAAAATATTGTTTTTGGGGTTAAGTGTATGTTTGGTTGCATATCTAAGAGTAATATAAACGAAACTAATATGAATTGTCACTTTAAGTGAAATTTACGTGTTTTTAGCTTAAAAATTAATAAAAACTGTTTGAAAAGTTAACAAAAGTGTTTATAACACTCATAATTGTTATAAATTATACAAAAATGTTTAAATTTTGTGTAAAATGTTCAATTTAAAGTAAAAATATATTAAATTGTGTAAAAATTATGTTTCGATGTTTTGAAATGACATTTGGTGTATGTTAGGTTGCATATATTGAAGTAATATATAAGGAACAATTATGAATTGTCACTTTTAGTCATATTTAAGAGTTTTTTGAGTCAAAATCAGTAAAAACAGTGTGAAAACTTTATAAAAGTGTTAATAACTCACCATATTGTTATAGATTTCACAGAAAAATGTTATTAAACTTTGTTTTAATGTATTTTTAGTATTTTTTTCATTCAGTATTAATATAGATGTATGTCTGGTTGCATATCCACATATCTAACACTTGGAACAACTTGGAATTGTCATATTTTGATGATTTTTATAAATTTTGAACCAAAAAACTTCTAAAAACAGTCTTAAACGCCATTTTCTATTATTTTTTCAATTAAAATATATCAACAATTGTTTAAAATTGTTAATATTTGCGTATTTCAATCCACAAAAATATATTTCAAAATATTTTCATGTTTCCAAAGGTTAAACGTATATAAGGTTGCATACCTAATACTCTTCCACACGCAACACTTATGAATTGTCACTTTTTACACCTTACCCAAAATCTAACCTAAAACAAACCCACTCACAGCAAATTCATAAAAATTCATCACAAGTTCAACCCGTGTAAGTATAAAGTACCCACACATCACCAAAACGTTTCACCTAAACATTTATGGCGTTCTAGGTCTAATTTAAATCGAATTTTGAAGCTTTGCGTGTTTGCGTGCGGCGTCGCCCGAAGAAGTCGCAGCTAAAGTCAAGCTAACTGTAAACTAACGCCCGGGATACCTCTACAAGAAGACAACACACAACATCCAACACAACAAATCCGCGAGACATCTTCAGCGCACGCCAAATATGCGCGCGCCGACCTAATGTCCTCTTTCAGACGTCTTAAAACAAATTAGATAACAATTACGAGTCAATTAATACTCACATCAACGAAACCTACAATAAATATTGGTGAAAACGCATGTTGATCACCTTGAGCATTAATGAATATCAAAATATCATTAAATTCATTATGTGATAAATGTGATAAGTATGCTGACGCCATCTTAAAATGTTATTGACGAAATTTATCGATTAGAATGTTGAAAAACGTGTTTACAAACACAAAACGCACTAAAAACATCAGAAAATGCTGGTTTTACCTTTGAAAATCTTTGTGTTTGTGATAATCCAATTGGGAATTAGTCTCTGGTCACTCAAACAACACTTGATTGATGAAAATGTTATGTTTTTGGTCACATTACGCGTTTTTTCGGGTCGAGAATTTCCGTTGTGATTTTCATGCGTGTCGTCTGCGCACGCGGTGCACGAACTGAGCCGACCGACGAAATGCCTGAGCGTGGTGAGCGTGGTTCAGGTGAATGTTATCCACCACCACCACCAATGCGACGCGAACTCGAGGAGCAACGTAACGGCCGCGAACACCGCGAAGACGTGAAGAATGATGAAGAACAGCGTGGTTAAATTCTATGTGTGTGTTGGAGAAAGATGGCGGCGCGACGTGCGGGCTGGGCCCTCTCGGCGCAATAACTACGTTTAAACTACGATAACTACGTTTACTACTTAGGTGTACGGTCGGAATACACACTGAGTGTAGATAAAATTTGTATTTGAGTTGTGTTTGTGTTTGAGACAGGAAATGTTAGGTTTAATTTCACTGTTTGACTGATTTACTGTGGTTTGTTTCAATGGTTTTGTAAGGTTAAACGTATATTGGGTTGCATATATTATGGTTATGTATATTTGCAGTATATTGAGTATATTGGTATTGTCACTACTTGCTTTTTATGTGTTTTTTATGTTGTAAAAATGTTGAAATGATAAAAATAACATTTAATAACATTAAAAGTGGTGTAATTTATGGAAAATGTTTATAATTAAAAAGATTAAACTAATATTTGTGTTTAAATCAATTAATCTAAGGTTTTATGTGATTTATGTAAGGTTTGTTTGCTTGTTTTGTTGGTTTTCAAAGGTTAAACGTATATTGGGTTGCATATATTATGGTTATGTGTATTTGCAGTATATTGAGTATATTGGTATTGTCACTAATTACTTTTTATGTGTTTTATATGTTTTTTGTGTTGTAAAAAGGTTGAAATGTTAAAAATAACATTTAGAAACATTAAAAGTGGTGTAATTTATGGAAAATGTTGATAATTAAGAAGATTAAACTAATATTTGTATTTAAATCGATTAATTTTAGGTTTTTTCTAGTTTATGAAAGGTTTGTTGGTTTGTTTGGTTGGTATTAAAAGGTTAAACGTATAATGGGTTGCATATGTTACGCTAATGTATATGCAGTAAGTATATTGGTATTATTATTTATTTTTAATGAGTTTAGTGTTGTAAAAGTGCTAAAACATTGAAAATAACGTTTATTAATAACTAAAAATGTTATATTTAAATATTATTAGTTGTTATTTGTTGTATAATTAAAGAAAACGCAAGAAAAGTGTTTTTATTGCACTTTTAAACCATTTTTATGTTTTTCTCAACAATATTAACGAAGGAAATTGTTTCTAACTAATAAAACAACAAATAATTATTATATTTTAGGTTAGGTTGCATGTTACTAAACATATTTATTCATTTTTTTGATTTAGCTATCCTCTAACATCATAAAAACACTAAATTAACTCATAAAACACGTAAACCAATCATAATCCACATTAATAATAAACATTATGCGTATTTTTATTACAAAAACATGAAAAACCTAAAACAGCCGACCGACGAAATGCCTGAGCGTGGTGAGCGTGGTTCAGGTGAATGTTATCCACCACCACCACCAATGCGACGCGAACTCGAGGAGCAACGTAACGGCCGCGAACACCGCGAAGACGTAAAGAATGATGAAGAACAGCGTGGATAAATTTGATGTGTGTGTTGGAGAAAGATGGCGGCGCGACGTGCGGGCTGGGCCCTCTCGGCGCAATAACTACGTTTAAACTACGATAACTACGTTTACTACTTAGGTGTACGGTCGGAATACACACTGAGTGTAGATAAAATTTGTATTTGAGTTGTGTTTGTGTTTGAGACAGGAAATGTTAGGTTTAATTTCACTGTTTGACTGATTTACTGTGGTTTGTTTCAATGGTTTTGTAAGGTTAAACGTATATTGGGTTGCATATATTATGGTTATGTATATTTGCAGTATATTGAGTATATTGGTATTGTCACTACTTGCTTTTTATGTGTTTTTTATGTTGTAAAAATGTTGAAATGATAAAAATAACATTTAATAACATTAAAAGTGGTGTAATTTATGGAAAATGTTTATAATTAAAAAGATTAAACTAATATTTGTGTTTAAATCAATTAATCTAAGGTTTTATGTGATTTATGTAAGGTTTGTTTGCTTGTTTTGTTGGTTTTCAAAGGTTAAACGTATATTGGGTTGCATATATTATGGTTATGTGTATTTGCAGTATATTGAGTATATTGGTATTGTCACTAATTACTTTTTATGTGTTTTATATGTTTTTTGTGTTGTAAAAGGTTGAAATGTTAAAAATAACATTTAGAAACATTAAAAGTGGTGTAATTTATGGAAAATGTTGATAATTAAGAAGATTAAACTAATATTTGTATTTAAATCGATTAATTTTAGGTTTTTCTAGTTTATGAAAGGTTTGTTGGTTTGTTTGGTTGGTATTAAAAGGTTAAACGTATAATGGGTTGCATATGTTACGCTAATGTATATGCAGTAAGTATATTGGTATTATTATTTATTTTTAATGAGTTTAGTGTTGTAAAAGTGCTAAAACATTGAAAATAACGTTTATTAATAACTAAAAATGTTATATTTAAATATTATTAGTTGTTATTTGTTGTATAATTAAAGAAAACGCAAGAAAAGTGTTTTTATTGCACTTTTAAACCATTTTTATGTTTTTCTCAACAATATTAACGAAGGAAATTGTTTCTAACTAATAAAACAACAAATAATTATTATATTTTAGGTTAGGTTGCATGTTACTAAACATATTTATTCATTTTTTTGATTTAGCTATCCTCTAACATCATAAAAACACTAAATTAACTCATAAAACACGTAAACCAATCATAATCCACATTAATAATAAACATTATGCGTATTTTTATTACAAAAACATGAAAAACCTAAAACAAAATTTAGATAAACTAATAAAAATGAATTTTGGGTTGCCTACTAGTAAACAAACATATTCTATATAAAAGCAGCAGATTAGAATTGTCACTTGTAATATCCCATACAAAATTAAGCAAAAATAACTCCTGCAACACCTGGTTTAGTCGCTTTGGTTTAATATAATCGTAACGACTGGTAGTATGCGTATATAAACCTGCTGCCTGCCGCTGCAGGTAAGTCGAAACCCACAAACGAAGAAGGAAAGGAAAGCGAGCGACGATCGAGTGACGCGGCGAGCCCACTCCGCACAACGGCGCAGGTTCATTACGCCTCAACGAACAGGAGAGCAGCAATCACGCGCAGTCTACCTGCATTCACACTCCTTTTACTTTTATCATACCTACTATACGTAAATATTTACTCAGTGCATAGACTCTCACCATAGGCAACCAAACATACACAAAAAAGCAAGTATCTTGATATAATTTTAATTCAGCGAGAAAAAATTTGCTAACAGCGCCATCGGTGGTGGACGTATCAATGGCGCATCATCATTCTCCTGCTCATCGCCGGATTCATTCGTGCGGATACTCAGACAACTTCGTGCGAGACCGTAGAATTTATTCGGCTGCAGATTCTTCGCTGTGAACATCCAGCCAAGATGGCCGCCGCATTCGTGACACTTTATTATCGTCCAAGCATACCTACAACAATAGAAAATTCAAAAAACAAAAAAACGTGAAAATATTAATTTTAAGGTTAGTTTTACCCTGGAAACCAGCTGAATTCTTTACACGCGTTTCCATCCAGACTGTAATTCTGTATCTTTTTGACAGTTACTGTTTCGTAGACAACGCCACCTGGATTCACGTAGTTGCTTTGCAGACCGTCTTTGGACATGGCAAACACGTGCTTTTGATGTGATATTAGCGAATCACAATGTGCGCAGCAAAGATTACGCTCGATATTTAGGTATTTCAGTGCGTGTTGTAATCTTTCAAGTGTTGTATTACTCTGGAGGATTGTAAGACGTTCGCTGTTCATCAGTTGAAAGTTTTGGCCGAACCAAAATGAGAGTAGTGCTGGATCTTTCGGTATATTATCTAAACAGTAAAGAATAATCATAAGTGACAATTCTAATCTGTCGCATATACATTAAAACTAATAAGTTATGTTTTTTATGTTGTAAATGTGTTTAAAAGTCAAAAATAAGATTTAATAAGATTAAAAATGATGTAATTTATGAAAAATGTTGATTATTAAGAAGATTAAACTAATATTTGTGTTTAAATCAATTAATTTTAGGTTAAATCTTGTTTATGTGCTTGTTTTGTTGGTTTTGTAAGGTTAAACGTATAATGGGTTGCCTATGTTATGCTAATGTATAAGCAGTAAGTAAATTCATAAGTGACAATTCTAATCTGTCGCATATACATTAAAACTATAAAATTGTGTTCTTTTATGTTGTAAAAATGTTGAAATGTCAAAAATAATATTTAATAACATTAAAAGTGGTGTAGTTTATGTAAAATGTTGATTATTAAGAAGATTAAACTAATATTTTTGTTTAAATCAATTAATTTTAGGTTAAATCTTGTTTATGTGCTTGTTTTGTTGGTTTTGTAAGGTTAAACGTATAATGGGTTGCCTATGTTATGCTAATGTACAAGCAGTAAGTAAATTCATAAGTGACAATTCTAAACTGTCGCGGCGTATATGTAACAATATGATTGTGCAATCATTACCTTCAGCGTAATATTTACTCAGGATTTTCACGATTCTATCAACGTAGTAGTCCACCTCGTATAAATCATACACCCAATACGGAAATACAAACTGTCCCAGATGCATTTTTCTATACCTTTAGTACAAAATAGTTTAAAATATTAATTTTTATAGGTTTTGTATATATCTATGACAGTACCTGTCAAATGCAGCCATGTTGTTATAATCTCCTTTGTATGGATGACGCTGTCGCAGTGTTGCCAACTGCGTGCAACTCACCGGACTCGTAATGGCCGCCTCCTCTAAGATACGTACTTTGACTTTAAAAATCTGCCGATGCGGATTCATGAGCATTTCTTGTGGCAGAACGAAACAACGCTGTCGACCGCGTGCTTTGATGTTCATCTGACCACGCTGTGTGCTGCGTTCGAAGATTTCCATCACCACGCCGTATTCAAAGAACATTTTCTTATCTTTACTGTAAAATAGGTTATGTTAGTGTTGTTAAAGTGATTTTTGTAAGGTTATGTTGACTTACATCAGCCAGATGAGGATGAAATTACATCCGATCTCAAAACTGTTGTCTGAATAAGATAAAACCAGAGGGAGAGTAAATCCAGGAAATACTAAGGTGTTGGTGTAAACTGCAGGTAATTCGATTATCTGTCCGTTTTCGTAGAGGGTGTAACCGCTTATATTGTCCAGTTTTCCGAGATACTATAAGAAAATTATTAGATGTATATTTGGTTGCCTATAGGGAGATTATATGTAAGCGACATATTAGAATTGACACCGCGTATGAAATATGTAACTTATTTGTTAATAACTATTGATTAAACAAAGATACACGATTCTTTTAAAAACAATATGATGTAGAATTTAATTCTGAACCTATTACTTGAAACATCACATGTCTATCTTGTTTATTTTAGGAATAATTAACAAAAAACCAACAAAATTCACACTCGCGTTTTTAGACCGTGAGGTTAAAAAAATCCCATAAGAAATCATATGGCACAGGTGAAGTATAACGATCTATAATAAATATAACAAAATAACATTCATTTTCATTACCTCATGTGTTGTAGGAATATTCTTATCAAATTCACAAAGTAGTCTCTGCCTGGTCGTGTGTTCCTCTATAATAAACCAAAAAATACCAAGTTATTATTAATTTTATTTTATTTTTTTGACAATTTTACCATTTTCACTACTAGACGTGTTTCCATTATCGTTGGAGTCGCCAACATCGTCCTCATCGTCATCTTCCTCGTCGCGCATCTTGTGGCACAAGCACTTCTTCAGAAAAATGCTGAAATATTAAATTCTCGGCGAATTTCTCGAGAAAACGCGCAATAAACAAAGCTTACCGCGTGTGAGTGTTGTGACAGGCAAGCACAGCTGATTTTGACACATGCGTAGCAGGAATAAGCAGGAATTCACACAAATAACACAATTATTCACATGTAATTGACTTCAAAACTAATCAAAATCAATCATATCCAATGCTACATCTATTTGTAAACATTATAATTCAATTTAATTCATTTTAAAACGTTTTAATTCCAAAGCGACAATTCTAATCTTTCGCGTAACTCTCGTGTAACCTATCGGTTACAACGTCACATCGCTTCGAGATAAAACCACAGAATAAACCGATTAAAACATCATACAAACGAGTAAAACACTTGTTACAGTCGCATCACGAACGTGGCACTACAATGCGCTGCATATTAGAACCGCCCAACGCCTTAAAACAGTAAAATCTTGTAATTAAAACAAATTAACCTCACATTTTTTGCCATCATGACCGAATTTCGCTTCGGATTTCCATGGCATTACCACGAAGACGTCGAGAAGAAACTCTACGACATCCAGACACATGATTTAGCCATCGATCATCATGTTCTGCAGCGTAAGTCGACTAATAGCATATATTGCCTGCAATGTTGCACAGAATTAGAGTATCCAATCAGTAAAGAAGCTCTGGCGGCACATTTTGTTAATCATAATGTAACAGAAGAACAATTGGAAGCATTTGAGGCATATCATGCATTATTCAAGAAATTTGGAGTAAAACAACAGCTCCAGCAAGTATTTTATCAACCACTTGATGGATACAGTGTGAAATGCACACTTTGCGAGCATATTAATGAAGTGAATTCATTTATAAGTCATCATAAAAGCCCTGCACACTACAAAAAGGTGACAAAACATGGTAGAAGGTATAATTTTGATATGCCACCCAAAAAACATAATAAAAAGCCTCAGAACAATGTAAATCTTGATGAATTGAATGATTTATCCACTTTGACGCTGAATGATAATCAACCAAAGCCTAAAACCAAGAAAAAACAGAATAGAAAGAGAAATAATAAGCCTCAGGATAATGGTGTAGGTGAAACTGATGAAACTGATGAAATAATTAAAAATGATGATTGTTTTGATGAGGGGATGATTTTTCATCAGTGTAATCAGTTGGTTTTCTGTATGATATGTAAAATGCCAGTGGTGGCAAATGATGGACATGAAACAAGTGAGAATCACTTGAATTCTTTGGACATTTTGAGGACTGGTAAACCAACGAAGGTTTTGTTTAATGCGTTGATGGCTTACGATGCGGCATGGCGGACGAAATTGGCAAATGTTGCTGAATATAAGAAGTATTTCGTTGCGCAGAGTAAATCAGCGTTTCGGTGTCTGTTTTGTGATCTGCAGATTCCTATTGTTAATCTACTGCAGCACATTGATAATTTTCCATGTGTGTTTCTATCGGTTGGTGATTTGAGATACGGTGAGTGATTTTTTGTTTATAAAATGTTTATTTATTGTTTGATTGGTTTGAAAATTTGGGAGTTTATAGGTGAAGTGTAGATTTATGCTTGGGAGAACGAATTATTGTTGTATTTTGTTTAGTTTTTGAGTTGTGAACGTTTTTGTTAATTGATTTGCGTTTTTTAGGGTACATTTTGCGTTTTTGTTTCGTTTTTTGTCGAATTGCAAGCGATAGAATCTTTTGATTGCTTTGAAAGTTTGGGGAACAATAGAAATTGTGTAGATTTATACATGGGTGAAAGAATTGCTGTTTTATCTTGTTTAGTTTTTGAATTATGAACGTTTTTATTGACTGATTTGCGTTTTTTTGGTGTAAATTTTGTGTTTTTGCTTCGTTTTTGTCGAGTATCAAGTGATAGAATCTTTTGATTGGTTTCAAAATTTGGGAAATCATAGATAAAGAGTATATTTATGTTTGTGTGAAAGAATTATTGTTTTATCGAGTATAGTTTCTGAGATATGATTGTTTTTGTTTGATAAATTTGTTATTTTTTAGTAATTTTTCCGATTTTTTCTTTTTCTTCTCAAATTAAAACAAAATCAGTTATTGGATTGTTTTAAAAAGTGGACGTATAATAGAATAGAATAAGATTTATCCATTTTTGAAAGATTCGTCCAGGTAACTCTTTTTGTTTCCGACTTATGAACTTTTAAACTTTGAGAGACAGTTTTTTTCTTCAAAAATTGTGTTTTTCCTACTTTTTTTTCAAATTAAAACTTATTGGGTCATTTGATTGTTTTGAAACTTACACCTTTTATAAAAATAATATAAATCTATCTTTTAACGCAAGAATCATTCTTATATCACTTTTGGTTTGGGATTTAAAGCTGATTTTCTAATTTTTAAAAATTTTGCATTATTTTCGTTTTTATCTTATAAAAACCACATTAATTGCACTATCATGCTGAAATTTTGTTATCTCAAAGATAATCTGCTTATCTACAAATATGTACAACAACAAATAGCCTATTTGATTTAGTTCTCCACTTATAAACAATATTCCGGGTAAAAAACCGATTTTTCTATGATTTTTACAACTTTTTCTTGAATAAAAACAAAACCATTCATTCAAAACATCTAGAAACTTGTAATATCATCAAACACACTCACATCTACCACTAACAACAAAAATCATACATGTACCTAGATTAATTTAAAAATTATCAACAATTTTCCATCAACTCTGCACAAAAAATGTAATTTTTTATTATTTTTTTTAATAAAATATAATTATTACAGACTCCAGTATGAATTACAAGCAACTACGTGCTGACTTCGTCACAAAAAACTGCCCAAAACAACCGCATTCAGACGAAATCTTAGAAAAATTCTATTCACCCAGAGATTTCTTCGATCATCATCTACAACTGGACGGGTTAAACGTCTACACGCTACAAAAACGTGTAGACATCATCTTTTGCCTAATATGTGGTGAAAACATCACTAAACTAACAGGTAAAACAATTATTACCACTAAATATAACAAATATTAATCAAATTTCTATATTTTTTTAAAGAAAACGATGACATAACCTATAAAAACGACGTTCTGGAGCATATTACAAGCAAAATACACGTGAACAACATCAATCTAAAGACGAGAATCCTCCAACTGTATACATATCATAATTATTTCACACTTCGTGCTAAACAACACGCTGAATTACAATATTTGCTGAATCCATTCAAAAAAGAGAGGTTACAATGCGCCGCATGTAAATCATCACATAACCTCAAACAAATCGTTGCGCATTTAAACGAATGTCGTTTTCTTGATGAAAATATCGATGAAAAACATAAGGAAGTAATTGAAAACGATGTTGCTATCTCAACATCAGCATCAACATCAACAGTTTCATCCAATAATCCACCACCGATGTTCTACGATGATGAAACCATGATGGCGCTGTATCCGACTTGTAATACACCACGTGGTCAACGACGGCCGGAGATTCTCACCGTACAGAAACGCACGGACTTTGAAAAGTTTTGCCTTGCGTGCTGCTGCAGTTTGTATATGCGTGGTGTTGAGCATATCAGCAGTGAGAAGCATGAGAAGATGCTGAACAAGAAGCGAGTCGCATTGAGAGCGTATCATAACTTCTGGATGGCGAAGAAGCCAGAGATTCAATTGAAGCAGGTGTATTTCAATCCGTTTGATGACAGGACGATGGTTTGTATTGTGTGTCGGAATGTGGACCTGTTTCGCAATATGATGCTGCATTCTCGATGCATTAATTTCATCAGGAAGAAGAATGCGTTGTGTAAGTGTATTTAAAGTTGCCTATGTTGATTTTACTTTACTTATGAAGTGTGTATATTAATACTGCTGCATGTAAAGTTGCCTATATTAATGATTGAATCTAAATGTTTATGTTTTTTGTTGTTTTAGGTATGTTCCCAGAGGAATTGAGCGAGTTTGAGTTGAATTATGATAAGGGAATTGTCCGTCGCTTCTTCTACGGTGTGCAGTACGATCTGAGTCGGGATATTTTAGGCACGCAGGTGCCGGTTGCCTATGTGCACAAAAGATACTTTCATTGCTTGTTGTGTTACAATTCGCGCGTTGGAAGGATGATTAGGAATATTGATATGTGGAAGAATCATTTGTATCGGTATCATTGCAAGCCAGGGCCTGCGAGGGATGAGAATCTGCGTAGAGTGATTGAGTTCCATGAGTATTGGGCGGCGCAGACTGCGGAACGTCAAGTTTATTTGGTGAGTTTGTATGTTTTTATTTGTTTTATGTTGTTTGAGTGGTGGTAGTGTTTGGGGTGGTTTGTTGGTAGGTGGAAGAATTTTAGGTATATTTTTATTTGTTTGGAAGATATAAAGGTTATTCTCGGAGTTTTTTGAGTTTTTTTGGTTGTTTTTTGTTATAAAAACTAAACGCGTTTTTAGAATTTTATAAAATTTTGGTAGTTTATACAGATGGATTAGGTTTATGATTAGGTGAAGGAATAATTTACTTATTGTTGTTTTTATGAAAGTTATTAATGTTTTTCTGCGCAAAAATTGATCATTTTACATTTTTTGCGTTGTAAAACTTAAAAGAATCGTTAGATTGGTCTAAAAATTTGATAGTTTATAGAGGTAGGTTTGTTTTATACCTAGGTGAAAGAATAATTTGTTTATCTTTGTTTATTTAAAAGTTATTAATGTTTTTCTATGCAAAAATTGATTATTTGACCTTTTTTGCGTTGTAAAACTAAAAATAATGGTTAGATTGGTCTAAAAATTTGATAGTTCATAGAGGTAGGTTTGTTTTATACCCTGTTGAAAAGATAATTTGTTTATCTTTATTTATTTAAAAGTTATTAATGTTTTTCTGCGAAAAAATTGATCATTTTACAATTTTTGCGTTGTAAAACTTAAAATAATCATTAGATTGGTCTAAAAATTTGATAGTTCATAGAGATAGGTTTGTTTTATACCCTGGTGAAAGAATTATTTGTTTATCTTTGTTTATTTAAAAGTTATTAATGTTTTTCTGCGAAAAAATGATTATTTTATCTTTTTTGCGTTGTAAAACTTAAAATAATCGTTAGATTGGTCTAAAAATTTGATAGTTCATAGAGGTAGGTTTGTTTTATACCTAGGTGAAAGAATAATTTGTTTATCTTTGTTTATTTAAAAGTTATTAATATTTTTCTGCACAAAAATTGATGATTTTACATTTTTTGCGTTGTAAAACTTAAAATTATCGTTAGATTGGTCTAAAAATTTGATAGTTTATAGAGATAGGTTTATTTTATACCCAGGTGAAAGAATAAATTGTTTATCTTTGTTTATTTAAAAGATATTAGCATTTTTCGGCGTAAAAATTTGTCAATTTGTGTTTTTTATGTTTGTTTCAAAGATAACCAGCGTATATCTTCATAGATATTTATCAAAACTTGATAAATCAATAGCAACTACACATATCTATTGTTATAAACAAAAACAATCATTCAATTTCATATAATTTAAAAGTTACAATGATTTTTGCTGATAAAAACACATTTCTCTCACGTGCAGCCGCCATTTTCCACTACAAACACTAAAAACCACAAATTACAAATCTCAAGGTCATTTATCATTTATATCATACAATAATCACAATCTGGTATAGTTGTGAATCCCAATCTCCAGCAATTCCACTGACTAAGCAAATTATACACACACACAAACACTTATCGCATGTCGTGCAACTGCAACTGCAACCTAAAACTCACCACACTTCTCATTCATTCAGTGTCACTTTACGTTGAAAAACCAAGGCGTCGGCTGCGATCAAGAGCATTTCCTGCCGCTGGAGAAATCCGTCGAGCACGTCGAAGTGCACACAGACTGCCAACTGCTGAAAATCATCCAACAGGAAGAGAATTCACGCGAAAACATGCAGCATGTCCCAAATGATGCAGATAACAATAAGAATCCAGGTGGTAAGTGCATAAATATTTGTTGTTTAATATATTTACAATAATAATTAACCTGTAAATGTTTATTGTTTGTTTTTGACAGGTGCCAAGCATAATATTGTGTTAATCTACCCCAAGGCAATCGAGAATGGAGAAAATGGTGCAGCATCCAGTTCAAAACCTACGATTAACTTGCCTTGTTATTTACTTGAGCATACCAAATATTTCCAGGCAATTGTGGGTGAACCAGATGTGGTGAATTGTTCGATTTGTAAGGAAATGATGGGGAATAGTGTGAAAACTTTGAGGCATCATGTTGCATCTGATAAACATGGACAGGTGGCGCATAATATGCACAAAGTGAAGTATTTTTGTGATACTTGTAATAATGATCAGTTTTTCAATGAGAAGAGGTGGATGGCGCATTTGGAGAGCAATGATCATTTGCATATGTAAGTATTTGTTATAAATTTTGTGTTGTATTGATGATGTATTGATTTGTATGTAAATTTGTTTTTATAGATTGAAAAATATGCCTGAAGAGCGGCAGATTGCTATGACAGAGTATTATTGCCGTCGGTGTCGTTTGGTGATATTCGGTGATGAGATTTCGAAGATCAGACATGAGGAAAGTGGCGCGCGTAGTGCTAAAAAACGTAAGTTTTGTTTGTGGCATTGGTATTGTCGTATGAGTTTGAAAGATAATAGCGGTGTTTTTAATTGGATCGTTTTGAAAACTTTAGATTTGATGAGTTTAGTATTGGAGTTTAATTTGGTGCAAGAATTAATTGTTTATCTCTTTTAGTTTAAAAGATATTCATGTTTTTATGACAAAAAACATGATTTTTTGTTAAAATTTTACAATTTTTTTTAATTACTCCGGAAATAATTATGCGTTTGATTTGAAATTTTAAACATTTATGACAGTTAACTAGATCTTCAATTTTATGAAAGAATTATTTGTCTAGCTCAGTTTATTCCGGAATTATCGCTGTTTTTGTTACTAGTATCATAGCTCTATTGGTATTGTCGTGAGACTTTGATGCGTGATAAAAACGTTATCTTTCATTGGATTGTTTTGAAAATTTCAATTTTGATGAATTTAATATTTAGTTTTAATTTAGTGCAAGAATTAATTATTTATCTTTTTTAGTTTAAAAGTTATTAATGTTTTTCATGCAAAAATCATGATTTCTTGGACAAATTTTACAATTTTTCCTAATTACTCCGAAAATAATTATCCGATTTATTTGAAATTTTAAACATTTATGAAAGTTAACAAGATCTTTAATTCTATTCAACAATTATTTGCCTATCTCTATTCCGCAGTTATCGCTGCTTTTTCACTTGTATCATAGCTGCATTAGTATTGTCGTTTTATAACCAACTTATTCTCCTCTCTGTTTCATAAAAAAAACATCAGAACAAGACATTCTAACGCCTCAAATGAAGGATCTTCTCAAATCCCGCCGTCACATCGAGCAGAACGGCCAGCGACTCCTCGCAAAATGCGCGCAATTCCGCGAAAACTCCCGCGATAAAGTCACACAATGCATCGGCGACCTAGAAACACTCATCAAAACCAGCTATCCAAACTGTCGCATCTACCAGTTCGGTTCACGTGTCGCCGGATTCGTTGTTGAGGTAAAATAACATAAAATTTAAAAAAAAAATCACAAAAAATATAAAATTTTATGCACACAGGACAGCGACTTGGATCTATTCGTAGACGTAGACAATAAATACCTTGGCCACGACCTCGACTACCACGGCGAGCGTAAAATCGTCCAGGAAGTACGCACACTGCTCAAATCCGACCCACGTACCTACATCGACCTGCACACGGTCCTCTCCGCACGTGTACCAATCGTCAAAGTCGTCCACGCACCCACCGAACTCGACTGCGACTTGTCCTTCATCAATGGCCTTAGCGTGGAAAACACACGCTTGATTAAATTCTACGCTGACATCCAGCCGAAATTCGGCGAGGCTATGCTTCTACTCAAAGAATGGGGCGCGTGTATGGCTTGTAAGCTGCGCAACGACATGACTAGCTATGCGCTATGCATGATGTTGATTTTCAACATGCAAATCGACAGGTATTTGCCATCTGTGCATGAACTGCGCATGCGTAGCACCTTTGACGTGCCTAATATCAACGGATGGGATACCATTGATTATTCTAAACTGGATCAGAGTAGAATCATGGAGAATTACAAGCAGCCAGAAAGTGTCGCGGATATTTTACAGAGTTTCTTTGAGTATTACTCGCGTACTTTCAATTACGCCCAGCAGGTGGCGTGTCCGTTGTTGGGGCGCACGTTTTCGGTGAAATCTTTTGCTGATAAAGGTGTTAATACGCCGGAGGAGATGCATACGTATAGAGAGAAGGTGGCGGTGGATCCTGATGCGCAGTTTAAAGTTGGTTCGCATATGTTCGTGCAGGATCCGTTTGATTTGGGGCATAATTTGGCGAAGATGGCGAACCAGCAGTTTGTTAACAAGTTTAAGAATTTGTGTAGGCTTAGTGCCATGCATATTAAGAGCTAGGTTAGGTACGCGTTGACAGATGTGTTGCATACAAACTTATTTTTTTATATTTTATTCGGAGATTGTGGAAATGATTGATTTTAAATGATGTTTGAATTTTATATGATCTTATATTCTAATAAAGTGTTCTTACTAAGTGATTTTTAGGTTAAGTGGGGTGGGAGCATTAGTATAGTCGGGTGTAGGTTATGTGTAAACATTGTGAAGTACCGTTGGTATTGTCGTGTGGAGGTTATGAGTGAATATTATGATGCGGCATTGGTATTGTCGGTTTTACGTTAGGTGCATATTGTGAAGTACCATTGGTATCGTCGTGTGTAGGTTATGTATAAACATTATGAAGTACCATTGGTATTGTCGTGTGAAGGTTATAAGTGAATATGATGATGCGGCATTGGTATTGTCGATTTTAAGTTACTTGCACATTGTGACGTATCATTGATATTATCGGTATTAACTTAAGTTCCAATTGCGACGTACCATTAGTATTGTCGTATTTGGTTATATGTGCATATTATGAAAAGTGTCATTGGTATTGTCGTGTGATAGTTATGAGTGAATATGATGATGCAGCATTGGTATTGTCGGTTTTGCGTTATGTGCACATTGTGACGTATTGGTTATGGATAAACATGCTGTGCCATTAGTATTGTCGTATTTAGTTATATATGCGTATTATTAAAACTGTCATTGGTATTGTCGTGTGCAGGTTATGTGTGAGTATTGCGATGAACCATTAGTATTGTCGGTTCCAAGATCCCACTATAACCTACCATTAGTATTGTCGTATTTAGATTATGCGCATGACGATTGTCAATTTGAGGTTAAGTTCACCTTTTGCGATATACCATTAGTACTGTCGTTGTCATTTAAGTTATACCAATTGTATTGTCGGTATTTTAGGAAACTGCACGTCACAATCACATTACTGTCGTTTGTTTCTACCGCGTGTATTGTTTAATTCTGACAGAAACAAAATATCTAGAGTGGCATGTAAACCTTGCAGTTCCCCGGGCGAACGTCGCCATATTCATGTAGTCAAAATTTAAAGTGCAACTCACAAAACCCAGAAAACTCACTCGACCAGCGTGCGTTCGCCAGCATCACCGTGGCTCACACCAACTGCTGTCGACCGCCGTGTCAGCCACCATACCGAGGCCTGCCACTCGACTGCTGCGTGCGCTGCAGACGCGTCGTCTACCTCAGCGAACGCAAAGAATTCAACTCCTGCGTCTGGCATACGTTCTGCTTCAGCTGCTGTAAGCAACTCCACTCCATAATCCGCCATCTTGAATTTATACAAACATGAATATATATTAAATTTTATTAATAAATTTAGTAAAGTGCCGTCGCTTACTGGACAGCTGCTCAGCCAACACGCACAAAGGCGAAGTCTACTGCAACTCCTGCTACGAAGCAGTAACAACCTGCCCGAAGTGCCAACCCTGCCGCTCCCCGATCGAACCATTCTGCACCAACCCCTGCGACTTACCAGAATTCTGCTGTGACGAACTCCACCACCAGCAGCATCACGGCCCACGCTGCACGGAATGCCCATCTGGCGGCCTGAACAAAAAATGCAATAGTGGCGGCAACAAACCCTGCGGTGGAGGCGGCGGCGGCGGCTATAAAACCCCCTGCGCACCAAAACCCAGTTGTCCTAGAGGCGCTTCGAATCCTTGCAGTAGCGGCAATCGAAGCTGTGGTAAACCACAAAACAACTGCACATCCCCATCACGTAGAAGTAAGTGTGGCGGTTGCGGGAGCACAACTAAAGGCGCTTGTAACTGTTACCCAGGCAGCCCGCCGCGTCGCGAAGCGGTGTGCACGCCGTGCCCGCCGGACCCGTGCGGCCCCGGCCCGCCGAACTGCAACGACGACGTCTGCATCCCGTGCTGCTGTTTGCTTCCCTGCAAACCGTGCAACAATCCGTGCTGTGGCTGTTGTTGCAAACCAAGACCCACCTGCTGTTGTCCACCGACAAGGCATTATAAATTACGACCGGCAAGGCCGTTGAGATACGTCCCGCCGAGGAACGCTTGTTTGGATGAGTGTGATATACCAACTGGCAAGCATTGACGGAAATCATTGGTAGATGTTAGGTGGACACGGGCACAGGCCGCCATTTTGTGTGACCCAGCGCAACGGGCGCGTTTGCGCAGCGCCAACACCACGCGACACCAATAATTATTATAATCGACATCATAAACGAGACGATCACGAGTATGTCTACAAAAATAACAAATTAAAATAATATTTAATATAAATATGTTAATACATTACAGTCCGTCGAGGTGTAAAGGCAGTTGTTACTGTCCCGAAGATTGCCACTGCTTAAAACGCACAATGAACGGGCGTTATATCGAATCACTCGCCTGTGAAGATGAAGAACCAAAATGTTGCTGCTGTGGATCCGGTGGTGGCGGTGGTGGCGCTAGTTGTCCCCCACGTCCAAACTGTCGCCCTGCCGTGGGTCCATGCAGTGGTGGTCGCACATCAAAGCGAAGATCATGCTTACCTCGACCACGATGTGAATGCGGTGGTGGTGCACCAACCAGAGAAGTAAGATGTCCGCCGCCGAAGACATGCGCACTGTGCAGTCGTTGCGATGATGATGACGATAACGGCTGCCCGCCGTGCTGTCCGCCGTACAGTCCGCCGCGTCGAAAGTGAGTGCGCATATGTATTCATAATCTGTAAAGACATAACCTACCATTTCGTATATGCTGTCGTATCTAGGCCAATTTGCTATCCGCCGATTAAGTGTTGCGAGACGAACGAGTGTGGGCAATCACCAACGGAGCGCATTTGTTACAGCCCCGGCGTGACGCCGCGCAACCCTCGCTATTGCTCGTGCGGACTGGCGAATCCGTGCGATTGCGACCTTGAGACGCGCCGGCGTGCTGCCATCTGCGAAATGTCGCCGTGCTGTCGTCGCTGTGGCCGCAAAGTAGCAACAACTAACCTGCAAATAAGCGAATCAGTGTGTGATTACAGATTTCTTCTTTTTGATAGGTGTACGCTGCGGAGAAGATCTGCGCTGCTAATGGTGCTTTTCACAGTTCTTGCTTCAGCTGTTATTGTTGCCATAAACCTTTAGAAGTCACCAATGTGTATGAGAATCAAGGCGAGATCTACTGCAAGCGTAAGTACAACATAACCACAACATAACCGCACAAATTTTTACAAAGCGACAATTCTAATATTTCTCGTTTATTTGCAGAGTGTTACACAAGATACTTCGGAGTCTCCGGTTACGGATATGGCAGTACGCTTCAGTCCGTACTTTAACACGTTTCCAAATTAAATGCATATGTTTCCAGGTAAGTGCGCGTGCAAGGAGTGCGTTAACAATTGTTGACCACCGCAAGCTGGACGCGAAGCAAGATGGCGCGCGCGCGCGGATGGTTGCAGTCACTTCGAACACGTTTGCGCGCGAGAATATCCGGGAATAATAAATCTAAGTGACGTCAAACTTGACATTATTGAATCATTGTTATTTTATTTGTGTGGATTGACATCCAGCGGTAAATTTTGTGTATAAAACGAGAAATTCAGTGGTAAGGCAGTGATGAGTGATAAAAAAATTGAGCAACGCTGTGGGAAACAACCTGTGGGCGCAGCGGACGCCATTTTGTATCACTCGAGATACACGAAAGTGATTATTTTTATTGGTGAGTATAGTTGTATGCATATATTGTCAATTTGGGTGACAGAATTGATTTATGGCGTGAAAAGTTTGGAAAATTGTTTATAACTTTTGTAATTGTTTATATTTTGTTTTTATTTAAGTTGTAGGAGGTGTGTTATGATGTTTTTATCAGTGTTGTGATTTTTAGACGTTTTGGAGTGGTAGTTTTGGTAAAAATTGTGAAAAACAAGTAAAAAGTAGGAAAAAGTTTCGAAAATTGTTTATAACTTTTGTAATTGTCAATATTTTGTTTTTATTTAAGTTTTGGGGGGTGAATCATGTTGTTGTTTATTAACGTTGAGGTTTTTAGACGTTTCGGAGTAGTAGTTATGGTAAAAAATACGAAAAACTCGTAAAAAGTAGGAAAAAGTTTAGAAAATTGTTTATAACTTTAGTAATAATTAATATATTGTTTTTATTTAAGTTTTAGGAGGTGAATTATGTTGTTTTTTATTAATGTTGAGGGTTTTACATATTTTGGAGTAGTAGTTTTGGTAAAAATTGCAAAAAACTCGGTAAAAGTAGGAAAAAGTTTGGAAAATTGTTTATAATATTAATAATAATTAATATTTTGTTTTATTTAAGTTTTGGGGGGTGTAATATGTGGTGTTTTATCAACGCTGAAATTTTTGGGCATTTTGGAGAAGTAGTTTTGGTAAAAATTACAAGAAACAAGTAAAAATTAGGAAAAAGTTTAAAAAATTGTTTATAACTTTAGTTATAATTAATATTTTGCTTTGATTTAACTTTTAAGTGATGTATTATATTATTTTTTATCAACCATGAAATTTTTAGTCGTTTTGGAGAAGTAGTTTTGGAAATAATTGCAAAAAACTCGTAAAAAGTAGAAAAAGTTGCAGAAAATTGTTTATAACTTTAGTAATAATCAATATTATATTTTTATTTAAGTTTTATGGGGTTTATTAGGGTGTGTTTTATCATTGTTGAAATTTTTAGACGATTTGAATCAGTAGTTTTGCTAAAAATTGCAAAAAAACGAAAAATTTCAATGTTTCGAAATAACGCCATCAGATGGCGAGCATAACAACCTCAAAACATAATAAAAAAGTAGAGAGGAATCTAGGAAATTTTAATATCTGCAATCAACCCGCATAAAATGGTGGGGGTAAAATAAAACGAAAATACTTCCCCCACCACTTTTCACGACTCTAACCTAACTTTTACTCTCCTTCAACTACTAAATACCAACATTCTTCCCTTCTTCCCTAGTAATGCTCGGAATGCTCCCCTGTGGAATAACCCTCTACTGGGAAGCCACCGTCATGCTCTCCTACCTCCCCCACCTGAGCTACCAACTGATGCACCTCATCGCCATTGGCTGCGGCGCCCTAACAACATCCCTACTCCTTCCATACACCGGCCGACGACGCATCTGCATCATCAGCTCTCTGTTCTTCTACCCGGCATTCATCCTCAACGCCCTCTATGAAAGCAACCATGCCGTCGATTTAACCACACGCCTCTTCGCCGGTGTCGCCACTGCAGCCTACATAACCTCATCGATCATCTACGTGTCGGAAATATCACTACCACGCTTCCGAGGGCGATACTGCGTGTTGACATCAGGTGCCTATTGGTTTGGTGGCGCCCTCTACGCGTTGTTACACTATGTACATCCATTCGCCACGATATTACTGGTGATATGCATGGTGTTGTTTTTCGTACTCGCGGTGATTTACCTTCCTGGCACGCCATTTTTTGTGGCGCAGCTTGGCGCTGATAAATTCGCGTCGGAGGTTTTGTATTTCATCCGCTGTGGGCCTCTAAGTCTACAAAATGTGGAATTTCAAGAGATACGGAAGTTTATTGACGCGCCCTGTATGCATCAAGGGTATGGCATGTTGAACAGATTCCTAACCTCAATTTTATTAGTCACGTTTTCACAAATTACTAGTTTCTTTTTGTTTTTAGTCATCGCAGCTGTTTTTGATGTGGTTATCATGACTATTGTGGTTATGTTATGTTCCATTCTGGGTATAATCAGTAATTATTTCTGTTTTGAGAAGGTAAATCGTGCTACGAATCTAATCATTAGTTTATTTGTGAGTTTATTAGGGAATGTTGTTCTCTGCGTGTATTTTTTATTCGTGGATGATGAGAAAACCTCAATGGCGGTTTTGGTGTATTTGGCAACAGCGTTGTTTTTCTTAGGTTATTTTATCGGATTAACGAGTAGGTTTTATTTATTCATGGGTGAGGTGTTTCCGTTTAGGGATAAACCGATTTGTGTCGGGTGTGCTGTCTGGGGATATTTTATTTCTTTTTCTTTGTGTGCGTTTTTGACGCGAGAGTTTTGTATTGCTTTGGGACCTTTTATGACTTGTGTGTATTTTGTGTTGCATAACCTACTGGGGTTGTTGTTTGTGAAGCTCAAGATGCCGAGGTATACAAATGTGAAATTGTTGGATGTGCAGAAATTTTTTGAAGAATAAATTATTAATTGTTATTAAATTAAATAATTATATTTGTGAATTTTTATGACGACAATACCAATGGTAGTGTAAGTGTATTGTGGGTTGCATAACACTTGATGATTTGATCAACATTGAATTCGGTTGGTATTCCTGCTAACCTCAATATTTATCATCGTTACAGTGCAGTGCGTGTAGAAGTATTCAATATAATAATTATTTCATTTTTAATTTATTGCAATTCAGCGTGAAAACTGAGAATAATTCAAGTAAAACACCTTTTATTACTTATTGCTGACAATACCATTATGGTGCGCAAATAATCGATATAATTTACTGCGTAATTGAAACATGTTTGTATACAACTTCATCAACAACCGCAATAATAACAGAAATTGTATTATGCAATCACAAACACTAAATTCTGTAAGTTAAATTGAATATATCTTCTATTATTAATCAACTAAACATGTAAACAACATGTAGTTGACTTGACTACAATACAAATGGTGTATATTTGGTTGCCTAACATAGTCTTGCATGCATATACTCTACACATGTGAAATGTTTTGTTTATAACCTAATAATTTATTATTACAGTTGCAGTGTGCCGTGTGTATCAGTGTGAATGTAGTGTATCGAATCCATCTACGAGTATGCGTGAAAACCGATCATAGTCCATATATTGGTAAGGCTCTATCGAAATCAATAATAAAATAAGAAAAAAATCAATTTCAATTCCAATGAGGCGAAATATACAATTTTTCCGCGACATAAATTCCGCATGCATGCATAAAATCAACAGGAGTTTATTGCATCGACCGATAAATTTTAAACAATTCACTTGTGTCACGTTTTCACGAAGTGATAAACAGCGGAGTGTGAATGAGAATAATCCCAATACGTAATACGACAATACCAATGCACCCTCGTGAAAAAACTTTCTTTTGTCCATAACTTTTGAATTATTTAATATATTAATAAAATTCCGACGGTATTTTGAAGGTTTTGACGTGATAACGTCTTTAAAATCGTTTTACGGGTGAGCGGTTCAGAAACTGTGTCACGAGCGAGGTCGATCGCAGGTATACCCCCCTCTCGTTATAACGAGAGAGAGACGGACCGATCTCCCGTCTCATCTCGAGCGCTGCCAGTCATTCCGTGCCAGTCATAGCGTTCGAGTGAGTTGACCGATCTTCCGTCTCTCTCACTCTAGCGGCATACAAACGAATGGAGATTTTCTCGTGCGGTTAAGTTTACGTTGAATGTTTTATCGGCCGATAAAAAGTTTGTAGTGTGCGGGGAGCCTAACAGTGAAACAAAATGTGAAGTGCAAGTGAAGTGTTACAACAATTTCAACAAAAAAAACTTATATCACCAATAAGACGTTATCACGTAAACATCTCGATCGTAAACCTACTTTACAAACAACCATTTTTTAACTGATATTTCATTATACATTAAAATATTTATTGATTTTACTCAGGAAATAACTTAATTTTTGAGTTTAAGTTGAAATAACCTCAAAAGTCGTGATTTTTAAGGTTATTTTGTATTTTTAATATTTATAAACAAATAAGCATCATGTACATTTCAACAAAATCGTGGGTAAATCGGTTTGTTGACAATTAGTTGCCTGGTGCAGTTGTACATGCGATTTATTTTCTCGATATCGCCTAGGGAGAGATGGTCGCGTTGACCCATGCTGACAGTGGTGTTTTTGCGGGTTAGCATCACAGTGGGTTCGCCGTTTTTGCTGAAAGCCAGCGGGCTGTAGTGAGTGATAGAGTCGTAATCGTATTGCACACCGAATGTTGTGATCACGTCAGCGGGTTGTCTCTCAAAATTGTCTTGTTTGCCTTTGAAACAAAAAAAAGTAAAAAGATAAAAATCGCCTGTTTTTGTTTTGCGCATAACTTTTGAGAAAATCGGTAGAAAATTATGATTTTTGTGGGGATGGAAGGATTTTTAGTTTGACTGTAGGTTTATGGTAGGAAATAGTAGTATTTTTGGTTGGTAATGGATGAAAATTGAGGTTAAAGTCGATGTTTTAATATTTTCGTGTTTTTTATGGAATTTTATGCAACAAGTTGGTTTTTTAGAAATAATTTCAAAAATTATTAATTTATAGTAAAAATTCTGACGTTTTTAAAAAGCTCTTTAATTTATTTATCATATATACTTTAAAAAGTATGAAATTTATTATCAGGGAGTAGTTTTATCTTGCCTCAAAGTATGATATTGAAAATATTTGCAAATTCGTAATTACTTTTGATTAAATTTTAATAAATTAATTAATTTTGCATAAATAGAATTGTATTTAGTTATATTATCGAATTATGGTATGATATTTTAATATATTAATTTGAGGTTAGAGAGAATTGAGGTTAAAATGAAAACTTTAGTAAATTTGTGTTTTTTTTTTGACAAAATTTTGATTTTTTGTGATAATTTCCAAACTAATTAACTTATAGTAATATTTCTGGTGGTTTTAGAAAGTTCTTTAGTAAATCTATAATTTCTAATTAAAAAATTGACGAAATTTGTTATCACATATCACTTTTTTCTTATCTCAAAATCGAAAATTGATTTAAAAAACAAAAAAAAAAACGAAAATTTTACTTTTGCTCTAATTATTAACAAAATCAAAATAAATAAACAAATTATACAAAACTAGACAGGCAATTAGTTGTATTTTCTTATCATATCATCCAATTAATCAATTTCAATACGGATGTCACTTTAAATCGCGATTAATCTCAAAATATAATTTATTTTCATCTTTAAACGCAAGCAACCAGAAAATTAATGATTTATTTTTTGCCACAATCGTAAAACCTGTCAACACATCAATAAATCTCATATAGCTTACCTTCTTTAAGGTTTTCATACATGATTCGTATGAACGAGTCACGATCATATCGTTTCTGCTCGTGCATGAATCCGAGCACATGCATCAGCTCGTGCATTACCGTCCCACGCTTTATGCAGGGGCCTTCTCCGATGTTTAATGTTTGCTCGCCTCCAATGCGGCCCAATTCGGCGTGACAGCCTACATTGTTTTTAATACTCACATAATCGTTATCTTTGGGGTTTTTCACTTGAAATCTACCGGGAAAAAATTTAAATAAATAAATTTTTTTGTCATAAATATCATATTTTTTGTTGTGAAATGTGTAGAATCATAGGTATTAAGTATAATATTAATTAATAGCATATTTTTGGTGAGAATATCTAAAATAAGTACGCGTCTGTAGTCACAGAAGAAGTAACAATGAAGTAGAATGGCGGGAAGTTTAAAATGGCTGAAAGTATAGTCTATGGAAGTATAGTGTACAGTCTCCATAGTGTAGTCAATTGGATTTGATGTTGACGTAGCTGTCGGTAATACAGTGTGATAATACAGTGTGATGGTACTATAGTACTTCAGTTTGAGCTTCATTGCTGGAATGCTAGATGGCGTTAAAGTAGTCAAATAGCCAGATGCAGAGGTATTATTGGCTAAACTATTTCTTTATTTTATTTCAAAAATATATTTTTTTATTAAATAAAAAGTAGCCTAAAACCATTCGGGGACCACTGAGAATATGTGTACAAATTTTCCTGATGATCAGTTAAGTAGTTTTTGCGTGAAAGTGTAACAAACATCAGGACTTTCGCATTTATAATATTAGTAGGTGAATGTGTCTGTATCAGGGTTGTTTTTACTGAATTTGTGTAATGAGTATTTATTTTCGTGATAATTCCAAAACTAATCAACATTTATTAAAAATTCTTTCAGAATTAGAAAGCCAATTAGTTAAACTATCATATTGTATTCTAAAAAATACACAAATATTATCAGAAGTTGAAAAAAAAAGATCAAAAAGTCACAAGTTAAAAAAATAACCTAAAGTTATGCACTTTACTTTTATTTTCGCCATATCTTCTGAATTAAGTGGGCTATATTAACAAAATTAACAGTTATAGAAAGCCCTTTAGTTACTCTTTAATTAACAAGTATTAAAAAATCAAAAATTATTATCAACTATCACTTTTTTCGACTCTAAAGTAAAAAATCAGTTTAAAATCATACCAAAAACACATATTTTTATTTCATTCATAACTTTTAACTAAATCAACCAAAATTAATTATTTATATTCAAATAGAAAGCCCATTAGTTATACTTTCACCTCATACAACAAAAAACATAAAAATATTCGGATAACTCATCAAAAATCAACAACAAAATCAAACATTTTTCAAAAAAAAAAAATCAACCTACAATGATAACTTACTTACCTAATACAAGTCTTCTCCTCATACTGATCAAACGCACTCTCAATAATCTTACACTGCTCCAACGTATACGGCCCCTCCATATGATACTTCACAACCCCATCCGGCCACCGCATGACTTCCGCACGCAAACCATTCTTCCTGCCAGTTGCGCCGCCTACACTCTTAACAATATCCCCCTCGGAGGCGTCATCGAACTCCTCCGGGTACTTCTGCTCCCAGATTTTCTTACCGCGGTCGTCCCATTCCCCGCCGGCGACGTACGCCGCCACCCACCCTATCAGCAGCACGACTGTATGCGCGTACATCCTCAAAGCGAATACGAATGTGGAATGTTGAATGCGATTATTTCGGAAGCAACAATGCCGCCTATTTTTACATGCACCCACATCTGATTGTAATTGAAAATTATCATTTAATGGCGTGACACAGGCGTAGATAATTAGAATTAATCGATTCGCGCGTGGTAATTGTTTATTGATTGTTTGTCATATGTGACTTATGGGTGTATCATTGGTCATCGGTGGTAAGGTTGAGTTTGTTGATCTTTTCCTGGACGTCAGAGGGGATGTGGAGGGATTTGAGGTCGTCTTCAGCGATTTCTTCTTCGGTTCTGTAATTTTTAAAAAGTTTTTTAGTGATAATTTCGGAAATATTTGATTTTTTGTTGGAATTTCTTCGTAATTTCTGCATAACTTTTTATTTTATGCATGAAACTGATTGATTTTGGCATAAATAGAAAATATTTTCATTATACTTTCAGTTGGTATTAATTAATATTCTAGTTTATACTCGTAAATGTGTTTAAATTGTAATTAAAGTCAAATTTTGTATCAAATTTGTCTTAATCGCTCGATTCAGCAAAGTATTTTTGTTTTAAGTCATAACTTTTTATTCAATGCGTAAAAAACGATAATTCTTAAATAAATTGAAAGTATTTTTGTTATATTATCAAATAGGGTCAGTTAATATCCAGATATATACCTGGAAATTTGTTTAAATTGAAATTAAAGTAAAATTTTCATAATTTTCGCTCATTTTAGAAAGTAATTCATATTTTTAATCATAACTTTTGACGCTATTCATCAAACTGATTGATTTTTGCATAAATAGAAAGTATTTTCATTATACTTTTAGTCGGTATTAATTAATATTCTAGTTTATACTCGTAAATGTGTTTAAATTGTATTTAAAGTCAAATTTTGTATCAAATTTGTCTTCATCGCACGATTTAGCAAACTATTTTTGTTTTAAGTCATAACTTTTTATTCAATGCATAAAAAACGATAATTCTTAAATAAATTGAAAGTATTTTTGTTATACTATCAGACAGGGTCAGTTAATATCCAGATTTATATCCGGAAATTTGTTTAAATTGAAGTTAAAGTCAAATTTTCATAATTTTTGCTCATTTTAGAAAGTAATTTATATTTTCAACCATAACTTTTGATTCAATTCATCAAACTGATTGATTTTTGCATAAATTGAAAGTATTTTCATTATACTTTCAGTTGGTATTGATTGATATTCTAGTTTATACTCGTAAATGTGTTTAAATTGTAATTAAAGTTAAATTTTGTATTAAATTTGTCTTAATAGCTCGATTTAGCAAACTATTTTTGTTTTAAGTCATAACTTTTTATTCAATGCATAAAATACGATAATTCTCAAATAAATTGAAAGTATTTTTGTTATACTATCAGATAGAGTCAGTTAATATTCAGATTTATATCCGGAAATTTGTTGAAATTGAAGTTAAAGTCAAATTTTCATAATTTTTGCTCATTTTAGAAAACAATTCATATTTTCAACCATAACTTTTGATTCTATTCATCAAACTGATTGATTTTTGCATAAATAGAAAGTGTTTTCATTATACTTTCAGTTGGTATTAATTAATATTCTAGTTTATACTTGTAAATGTGTTTAAATTGTAATTAAAGTCAAATTTTGTATCAAATTTGTCTTAATCGCTCGATTTAGCAAACTATTTTTGTTTTAAGTCATAACTTTTTATTCAATGCATAAAATACGATAATTCTTAAATAAATTGAAAGTATTTTTGTTATACTATCAGATAGAGTCAGTTAATATTCAGATTTATATCCGGAAATTTGTTGAAATTGAAGTTAAAGTCAAATTTTCATAATTTTTGCTAATTTTAGAAAGTAATTCATATTTTCAATCATAACTTTTGATTCTATTCATCAAACTGATTGATTTTTGCATAAATTGAAAGTATTTTAGTTGGATTATCAAATAATAACCATAAGCAATCAAATTTATAGCCGGAAATATACTTAAACCAACGCCAAAGTCAAACTATACATTAATTTCGCGACTTTTACTAAATTCACTATATTTTTATCAATTTCAATGATAATTAACCAATCCACAACCCCAAAAAATAACAATTAATAACATATCTTACCTGATCAAGATATCAACCAAATTCTCACACGCCACCAACGCTTTCTTATCCTTCTCCCATTTATGCAACTCACGCAAAATCACATACGCATTTCTCTCGCGAATAAACTCACGATTTTTCCGCAATGCACACAACTGTGTAATGGCTTCCAATAACATACACCTAAACAAAAATTATAACAAACAAATACTTCATATATTTATTTACTCTCCAATAAATAATAATACAAACCTAATATCTGGATCATCTTCACGCTTCTTATCCTCGGATAAATATTGCAGATCAGCCGGCAACTTCTCATTATCCTCATCGTCAAACTCCTCAGGCCCAGCCAAGGGCAACAAGAGTCTTGGAAGTATATCCACATCGTCACTCAGCAACCATTCATGATACTCCGAGTCAAAACAACAATTTTTCAAGGTACCTAACATTAAATATCACAAAATTAATTAAAAATTAATTAAAAATTAAGTTTAAACATTAAATATTAATGAAATTACCAATGACACCGCCACGACGCGTGATAGAATCCTCATACTCAGTAAACGTAATCAATCTTTGCAACAAAGAAGACTCTTTATTCAGTATCACTTTCCTCACAGTTGGACTCTGTGATAAATTACTAAATATCGGCCCTAGATAATCCAGCTTATCACCCTTTTGATTGTATTTGATCTTGGTGAATGCAGAGATTAATGCTTCCCAGTTGTGTGGCTCATCTATGCAATCAACAATCATTTCAACAAGCGATGAGTTTCTGCTTAAGTTACTGAAGACCATGCATGCTGCATCAGCAAAGTGACACTCTGGATTCAATATAAATCTGATTAATGTCTTGATTATATTGTCGGGGGACTTTTGTAGGCGGTTTGTGTGTAGTTTTGGAATGTCTAAGTTGATTAACACTCTTGCTCCAGTGGAATTCGCTGAGATGTTCACTAAAATCAAGCAGGAATCCTTGGAGACTGTTGTGTTAGGGTCATCGAGTAGTATGAGAAGACATAGGAGGATTTCTTCTGCTTGTACTACTAAAGCTCGAGGATCTTCAGGATAAAGTCCCAGATCTTCGAGTTGGTGTTTTCTTCTTTGGTTGAGATTGGTATATCGGTTAAATCACCGAAGACATAATCAAATTTGCGTCCTTCTGCGATGAATTTATCCAAAGTTTGAAGACAATCCGCAAGTATTATCTAAATAAGCATAAAATTGAGGTTGTGTTATGTTTTGTGCATAATGTGTTGCATACCTCGTAATTTTCGGTTTTGTAAGTGTCGAGAACATCACCGCAGATAGAACGCATGTGTTTGGCGCATGCTTTCATTACAACTTCGTCTATCTCGAGCATTACGACGTGTTTCGGCTTTTCTTTTAATAACTCGTAGAGTAGGGCGCCGTCGCCGCCTCCGAGAATGCAGATTTCTTTGTCTTTGTAGTTTTCCACACCGCGGGCCATCAGGGTTTCAGTGTAGATTAAATCAGACTCAGAGATATCTAAAATTTAAAAGTTTGGTTAGAATAACCTCAAAGTAGTTTAAAACTTGAATAATTTCTAAACGCTTCGATAGATTTTAATCTAATTTACAGAAATTCTTTAGTAGAATATGTATTTTGATATTATTTACTAAAATTATGAATTACTTTGAATTTAAAGCTAAAATTCTATGAAAAACTTACTTTGTAAATCATCTAAGACAAGCATATTGCCCAAACTCTTCGAATGGACAATCTGCACCTTCTGGAAAGGTGTACGCTCCTCAAAAATGACTCCATCGATGTCATACTCCAATAATCTTTCATCTAAACATGAAAAATCATTAGAATCACTTAAAAAAAAGCAGAAATTCACATAAAACAACAATAAATTTGACTTTTTTCATCGTTTCTTCACATTTATACTGTTTTTTTGTTCAATTCAGTGGAAAACAACAAATAAAATACCTGAACTCGGGAAGAATCTATCAAAAGTGCATCGTTTAATCGGAACGAAAGCCTGACTCCGCCTAACGCCAATCAATTCGATCAAGTCCCGTTCGATCAGTTTAGCATTCTAAAAAGAACATAAACAAAACCAATAAACAATAACGTAAACTGTGTGATTAACAACCAAAACATCAAACATTCAACAAATCATAAACGTTGAAAGTTCTACAAACAATTGGCGACGTATTCGGGTGCAAAAGGTGTGTGTAATTGAAAGGTGTGCATCTCAAACGCACCTGAACTAGTCAGATAAACGTCGAGCAGGGCGCCACGCTTCACAGGCGGCAGTATTTTCGAGCGAAATGCCCTGAGAACGCCGCCCAGGCACTGTTCCAAGTCTCTTGTGTGCTGCAAACACACCAACAACCCACAAATTCTACATACTACAACATTTATATAGTGACACAGCATTAAAAATACGTCTTACATCATAGGAAATGATTGCTTCCTCTTCATTACTCTTGTAATACTCAATATTAACAGTGACCAGACCATTGTTGAATATTCGCAGAGTGACAAGTGCTCCTCGGATACTCTGATAGATGTTCACTTGAGATGCTTGTGAGGCGAGATTACCGGTGAGTTTTGTTGAGTATAAGGGTTGCAATTCTTTGAGGTGGTTGATGAGGACAGTCTCGACGCCTTTGATTACATTGTCGCGATAGTTTTCTTCTTGTAGTTTTGTTTCTTCAACAGAGAAATCAATCAGGATTGTGTTAACCGCCATTGTTTCGAAATAGAAATGGTGAGAATGTGGAGAATAGGCGCGTCGGGGTTACGATGTTACAATAATTCAATTCGGTTTAATTTAGTCTAATTTAGGAAATTAGGATCAATCAAGATTAACGAGTCGCTGCGGCAAGAATGCGGCAGGAATTCAGCAGGAATTATGGGGGTTATGTAATATGATTAATTGGATTTTATTTTTAATTTATTTTGTGTTTAAATGCGTTTTAGACATGCAAATTGTATAAAAATCGATGCATTATAAGTTTTTCTAGGTGTTGAATATAGTGGTAGTTGTTTTATATGTGCTAATTAGTATTTAAATTGATTTTAAGATCAAAGATTTAAATTTTCCCCTACCTCTAGTTACATTTTTGTGTTAGATTGGAATTGTCATCACAAAAATTTGATTAAAATTCATCTTTAAAGCTTTAAAACATAAATAATATAAAGTAAAAAATGTTTAGTATAATTAATTATTGTATTTGTGTAGTTATTATTTATATTATTGTATAAATTATTGTTTTATTTATTTTTAGGTGTTTACAGAGATAGGCAACCCAATATACACATACAGTGTGTTTATACAGTCTATTTTTATCGTTGACATCTTCGACGCCATTTCTCCAACCCCGACGGTTTTCATCTCGTCGGAATTCCACAAGAAAATCACTGAATATATACATAAAATTATATTTACCTGTGCAATTCGTGGCGTACGGTGACAATGGAAGGCTTAGCAAATTACGGCAGTGATGACGACTATGAAGATTCTCCACAACGCTCGCATGTAAGTACACAAAATATGCCGCATAAAAATACCTCCGAAAAATCCCCATAAAGACTAAATATTATGTAATACAATCACTGTGTGTACATGAGATGTTTATAAATCGAACAATTAATAATATACCTATCTGCTAAATGCTAGTTATGACCAGAAACATGGTACTTGACAGGAATCAGAAGTGGCGAAGAAACCCAAGCACAAAACACCAGGTGAAAAACGCGACCGGGACAACTATGAAGACGTCGGCATGGATCTCAGTGAGGTAATTACCTTCTGGCATGCCTTATTCATTCACTTGTAACATACCAGTAGTCTAGTCACACTTAGACTGTAGTTGATTAATGATTATCTCCATGAAAGTTGCAAAAGTTGAAAATTTCACCCACATACAATCAGCTATTTTGTTTGGAAACACTAGGTTTGTGGAATAGGCTGGTTGAATGTGCTGTAATTATTATTTTGTAAGTTATATTCGTAATGATATTAACTCTATCTGTTAATATATGACAAAAAAGTTGAGGTGCTTTGGGCCTCAACAATCTCGTGCTCAATCGTTCGTACACACTTCACAATCGATGGAATTGCGTTGAAAATCTGCTCGGGGTGAGTAATAACTGTTTCACACGCCGTCTCCAACAAAACTATCTAAAAAATAATTGCATAAAGACACACCACATCGAGGTAATGAATATTTAATGCCTTTTATTATTAGAAATCTTATTAATCATTTAGTTTATTGTTTTATCTTGAATATCATCTTTAATTTCTTGTTTATTTTGTCTAGAATGAAGAAGAATCTTCCAAGAGCAGCAAAAGCGTCGTTTCCAGTCCGAGTCACACTCCCCGAAGAGTAGTCGGCAAGTTTCACTCCTAGAAGAAAAGAAAATCACTGAGAAGCAGGAGAAAACACGAAGTCGCAGTCGGAGTCGAAGCAGGAGTGGGAATAATAGACGTGAGAGAAGAAAACGTAGTAAATCACGCAGTGATACGAAAAGCAGCAGTAAAAGTAGAAGCAAGTCGAGAAGTCCGACGAATCGTAATCACAGTCGACGTAAAGATGACAAACATCGTGATCGCGAGCGTGATAAATACCGACAGGAGCGTGATTCGCGTGGTAGGAATAGTTATCGCCATAGGAGTCGATCCAGGGAGAGAGATTCTGCAAAGGATTCTTCCAGGCGCCATAGAGATAAACGTGAGAATCGCGATTATCGTGATTCACGTGATTCTCGTGATACTCGTGATAATCGCGAATATGCTCCTAAAGATCGTTATTCTAAGCGCTTTGAACGTGCGAGTAATAAACTCGCACACTTGGAAAAGATGGGTATTGATGTGAATAAATCCCAGGATAAGAAACAAGATAGTTTCTATCAGGCACAGAATCCAAGCGGGTTGAATCAAAATGTTGCGCCTTCTGCCACGCAGACAACTAGTGAGGATAGATTGTTGCCTCCTGGTGTTACTGGAAGGCTCAGGGAGCAAATGGAAAGACGCAAAGCGCTCTGGCAGAAGAAACCGGAGCCTGATGTGCAGGATGTTCAGCAGGTGCAGCAGGTACAGGCGAATACAAGTGGGAAAGTGTGGCAGGCGACTACATTTGCACATGATCAAGAAGGTAAGTGTTTTGAGTCTTATTTTTATGATTTTCATTGGTTTTTATTGATTTTTGTGTGTTTTTTAGGTAAACAAGCGAATAAATTCAAACGGCTGATGGGAATCCGGGAAGCTCCTACCTCTGCAAATGATAAATCGACTGATTCAATGGCGAAGAAGCAGGAGGAGCTGTTCTCGTCAATGGAGCAGCAGTATGAAGTTGCACGCACTGCAACGCATACTATGCGAGGCGTCGGGTTGGGTTTCGGTAGTTATCAGAGGTAAACTAAACTAATGATGTCTGTAAGATGTTGTTTTAGAAGAAATGTTATTAATATTAATATTTCTCGTATGGATTTTATTCTTGATTTGAATTGTTACCGATCATTACTTTCAATACTTGTGTATTTGATTTGAAATAAGTATTAAATGTAGTACAACACGTGACAAGTTTTTTTTATTTTTAGTAATAACTTTTTAATTTAGTTATACTTTAATTAATAACAGGGGAAGAGTTGATTTAAACAATTACTTTGTGGTTTCCTTCTATAAAAGGTTGTTAATTGTCTTTAAAGTGCCTTATAATTTACTTTTTTTTACAGTTTTTGAAAATTTGTCTTGGAAAACATCATGTACTGACATTGTACTGGTTCAATATTTTCATAGATGTTTACATCTTGTTGAACAACAATTGCCCTTTTGTGTAATACTTGATGCAGCTCCCTAAAGGGCCAAGAACAGCCCATAAGGTGTTTCCCAAATTTGGTAAGTTTCATGAATTTTGTAAACACTTCCTCGAATGCAGCCCTTATCTTGCTATATTTTGGTTCAATCTTATTTTAGTTTTAATCCTTATGTATCAGAGGAGTTGCCCTATTATTTGATATATGATTTGGCCTCCCAACAGCCCTAAAACCGCTACACAAGGAAGTTATGCCGATTATCAAATCATCTAATGGAAAACACCCTGTATCTCGCGACCTACTGGCTCAATCTGATCATAGTTTTAATCAGCTTATAGAAGTAGAAATGCTCTTTCATTTGATATATAATTTGGCCCTCTAAAGGGCTCGGAACTCCCTTAAAGATGCCAGTAAACTTTGATATATTTTGAAAATTTCCAAAACACATTGTGGAAAACACCCTTTATCTCGCGATCTACTGGCTCAATCTGATCATAGTTTTAATCAGCTTATAGAAGAAGAAATGCTCTTTCATTTGATATATGACTTGGACCTCTAAAGGGCTCGGAACACCCTTAAAATTACCAGTAAACTTTGATATATTTTGGAAGTTTCCAAAACACATGGTGGAAAACACCCGATATCTCGCGATCTACTGGCTCAATCTTATCACAGTTTTGATAAGATTGTAGAAGAAGAAATGCTCTTTCATTTGATGTATAATATGGCTCTCTAAAGGGCTCGAAACACCCTTAAAATTGCCAGGTAACTTTGATATATTTTGGAAGTTTCCAAAACACATGGTGGAAAACACCCGATATCTCGCGATCTACTAGCTCAATCTTATCACAGTTTTGATAAGATTGTAGAAGAAGAAATGCTCTTTCATTTGATGTGTAATATGGCTCTCTAAAGGGCTCGGAACACCCTTAAAATTGCCAGTTAACTTTGATATATTTTGACAGTTTATTTATCAAAAGTGGCTATAATTTATTGAACCACATTGAAGAGTACTTCGCAAACTTTTCAGCAATGGGAGGTATTCTTGCTAATCATTCTTTAATTTCTACGCTAATTAATATGACAGTATCATATGTCATTGTTATAATCTAAATGTACCAAACGAATTATGGAGAAATATTTCAAAATATACTATGCTACAGTTATCTACCTGGTGTCCCCAACCAGATGTTTACGCCGGCTGACAATTGTCTTTCCTGTTTAGTCGGTCGTGCGCGGTGGTGTTGTGAACACGTGTTTTGTTTGTGAGTCTCTCTTCGTAGCTATTAATTGCGTTTCTTGAAGTATTAATGTGATAATGGTATGGACGACAATGAATTTCAGCGAGTGTAGCTTACAGTTATTGAATTGTCGGAGACAATCATAGAATCGGATTTTTAGTGACTTATCCAAATATTTGTAGCTGCCGGCGGCTACCGTTTGCTTACTAATATGTCGAATTGTTATTACATATAAGTGATTTATTCAATGGTTAATTTGTTTAAGCAACATTTCTTACTAATGTGAAAAGTCTGTTGCATTGGAAGGACAATTAAGTGATCGACGTTAATGCAAATTAGAACTATTATATTCATAATTTTTTTTATTTAACGAGCGAACGCCATGTCGTTGGATAACCGTTCTTTCACCAAATTGTAGGTATTAAAATTCTTTATTATTTTCATATCTAACTTGTTGCTATAACCCTCGGGAAACCTTCAAAAATGCCATTTTTGTATTTTTTGCTCAGCTAATTTTGTTTTTTTGCTTTAGCGGGCAGACGCAATGTCGTAGGACAACCGTTTTCATCATATTGCCAAATTATTAAATTTAACTGTATTTTCATATATATAATTTGTTGGTTTATCCCTCGGAAACCACAAAAATGCCCTTTGTATTTTTGCTCAGCTAATTTTGTTGTTTTAGGCTATGGCGGGCGAACGCCATGCGGAGGACAACCGTTCTTTAACCAAACTGTAGGTATTAAAATTCTTTATAATTTTCGTATATAATTTGTTGGTTTTATCCCTCAGGAAGCACAGTACCCTTTTGTATTTTTTGCTCAACTAATTTTGTTGTTTTAGGCTGCTTGGTGAACCTTGCAATGTCGTAGGACATACTTCTTTCATCATATTGTAGGTATTGAAATTCTTTATTATTTTCATATATAATTTGTTGTGGTTTATCCTCAGGAAACCTACAAAAGTATTTCCCTTTTGTATTTTGCTCAGCTAATTTTGTTGTTTTAGGCTGGCGGGCGAACGCCATGCCGGAGGACAACCATTCTTTCACAAATTGTAGGTATTAAAATTCCTTTATTATTTTCACATATATAAATTTTGAACATCCTCAGGCCACAAAAATGCCCTTTGTATTTTTTGCTCGGCTAATTTTGTTGTTTTTAAGGCTTTATAGCGAGATTGGAGCCGCAATGTCGTAGGACAACCCTTCTTTCATCATATTGTAGGTATTGAAATTCTTTTATTATTTTGCCATATATATAATTTGTTGGTTTTATCCTCAGAAACCACAAAAATATACCCTTTGTATTTTTGCTCCAGCTAATTTTGTTGTTTTTTACTTGGGCTATAGCGGGTGGAGCCTGTGTCGTGGGACAACCCTTCTTTCTAATCATATTGGCAGGTATTGGGGAAATTCTTTATTATTTTTCATATATAATTTGTTGGTTTCTCGGAAACCTACAAAGTACCCTTTTGTATTTTTTGCTCCAGCTAATTTGTTGTTTTAGGCCTAGCGGGCCTTTGAGACGCCATGCCGGAGGAACAACCATTCTTTCATAGGTATGGAGGTATTAAAATTCTTTATTATTTTCATGTATGAAATTTGTTGGTTTTATCCCTCAGGGAGAGCCTACAAAATACCCTTTGTATTTTGCTCCAAGCTAATTTTGTTGTTTTTAGGCTATAGCGGGTGAACCTGCAATGTCGTGGGAACCCTTCTTTCATCATATTGAGTATTGAAGTGCTTTGTATTTTTCATATATAATTTGTTGGTTTTATCCTCAGGAAACCTACAAAATGCCCTTTGTATTTTGCTCAGCTAATTTTGTTGTTTTAGGTATAGCGGGCGAACATATGCCGGAAGGACAACCGTTCTTTCACAAATTGGCTGAGTGACCGAGGAATTTCAACATTATTATTTTCATATATAATTTGTTGGTTTATCACTCAGGAGAGCAACTTCAAAATGCCCTTTTGTATTTTTGCTCAGCTAATTTTGTTGTTTTTACCTTTAGCAGCTTTGTGGTGAACGCCAGGCCGAACAACCGTTCTTTCTACTTAAATTGTAGGTATTGAAATTCTTTATTATTTTCATATATAACTTGTTTGTTTTCCCTCAGGAAACCACTACAAAATGCCCTTTTTGTATTTTTTGCTCAGCTAATTTTGTTGTTTTGCTTTTGTGACGAACCTTACCAATGTCGTAGGATAACCGTTTCTTACCGGTGTAGGTATTAAAATTCTTTATTATTTTCATATATAATTTGTTGATTTATCACTCAGGAAACCTTCAAAATGCCCTTTTGTATTTTTTTTTTTTTTGCGCTCATTTAATTTTGTTTTTTTTTTTTTTTGCTTTGTAGGGCAGGGCAGCAGCAGCGCAATGTCGTGGAAACCGTTCTTTCACCCAAATTGTAGGTATTAAAATTCTTTATTATTTTCATATATAATTTGTTGGTTCATCCCTCAGGAAACCTTCAAAATGCCACTTTTGTATTTTTGCTCATTTAATTTTTTTGTTTTGCTTTAGCGGAGCGGAGCATAGCGCAATGTCGTAGGAGAAACCGTTCTTTCACAAATTGGCCAGGTATTAAAATTCTTTATTATTTTTCATACTTATATATAATTTGTTGGTTTAACCCTCGAGGAAACTTTCAAAAATGCCGCTTTTGTAATTTTTGCTCAAGCTGTTTGTTGTTTTTGGAAGCTGCCTGGCGGGCGGGCAACGCCATGCCGGAGGACAACCGTTCTTTCCGCAAATTGTAAGGTATTAAAATTCTTTATTATTTTCATATATAATTTGTTGGACAACCCTCAGGAAACCTTCAAAATGCCTTTTGTATTTTTACTCATTTAATTTTGTTTTTTTGCTTTAGCGGGCAGACGCGCAATGTCGTAGGAAAACCGTTCTTTTCACGCAAATTGTAGGTATTAAAATTCTTTATAATTTTCATATATATATAATTTTGTTGGTTTTGAAAACCCTCGGAGCTTTTCAAAATGCCCTTTTTGTAGTTTTTGCTCAGCTAATTTTGTTGTTTTTAGGCTATAGCGGGCGAACGCCATGCCGGAGGACAACCGTTCTTTCACCAAATTGTAGGTATTAAAATTCTTTATTATTTTCATATATAATTTATTGGTTTAACCCTCGGGAAACTTTCAAAAATGCCCTTTTTGTAGTTTTTGCTCAGCTAATTTTGTTGTTTTTAGGCTATAGCGGGCGAACGCCATGCCGGAGGACAACCGTTCTTTCACCAAATTGTAGGTATTAAAATTCTTTATTATTTTCATATATAATTTGTTGGTTTAACCCTCGGGAAACCTTCGAAAATGCCCTTTTTGTGTTTTTTTTTGTCCGGCTAATTTTGTGGTCATGTTCGATGGACTAATTTTTGCTTGTTTTAGGGATTTTGCACCCGAGTCTGACATCCAGACATCCATGCAAGAAGGACCATTCTTGCATTTAATTGTAAATATTAAATGTCTTTATTACTATCTTAAATAACTTTTGTGATTTTAACATAAATTGACTTCCAAAATGTACGCTTGTGTGTTTTCTTTAATAAAGAATGTTTTATTAGTTTTTCTTATTATAATTATTTCTCTTATTTCAACACAATCACATATTTACCGATTCCTTAAATCATTTATTATGAAAAGTGCATGCTAGCGCCCTCTATTTATTGGAAACTACATCAACTTCAAATATAAACTTCGGCCCGTCGCCATTAGGGGCAGCACATTCAGATTTTTAAATATTTAATTTACCCGCCAAGTTGCCGCAAAACTGTGTCAGCCTCCTCAACTTTCTGCGATCCTAATATTCAATCTTTATTTTGTCGACTCTGCGAGGCAAAATCACGCAAAATTTTGTCTCGAAACGGTTGAAAATAAGTTTGTAATATTCGGATCGCAGAAGAAGAACTGTCTGGAGACTACGGCAACAACGAAATGCGTAAATATTTAAAAATAAAACTAAACTTTGAGAATGTTAGTTGAGATGGTGTTCATCGACAGAGGTCACTAGCAGTGTTTTAAATTAATTTTCAGTCCGAAATAACGAGAAAAATTGATTTTTAATATTGGGATAGCAGGAATGTGTGAGGAGGTAGGAGAGTTTTTGACAGATCTTCGAACGATTTCAAAACATTTGTGAATAAAATAAAGAGATATTCAACTAACTTTCGTCGAGTTTAAACTAAGAATAAATGTTTGAGATCCTGAAAACAAATAAAATTAGGGATGAAATATAAATTAGAGCAGCTTTAAAAATATTGTTTATTACCAAAAACAATTTATGTCATAGTTATAAAATTTCTACAATAAATAACAACTCTTTCGCAGGCTAAATATATAAAAAAAAAGTGAAAAATCAACTGCATGGTTCATTGAGTTATGACCCATTTTCCACTGCGTGCTTACACAAAATCCTACAAACAAAAGGGGTGTTTTCAGTGGCCATTTTGTAGAGGCACTTAGGCGGCACACTACAAAATTGAATCTATAGTGCAAATGAAACAGCAACTCTTTAGCTTTAAACTCATACAAAGAAACTAAAAATCACCCTTATGGTTCAAGAGTTATGAGCCATTTTCCACCGCATGTTTTCACAAAATCGCAAACAAGGGTGTTTTCAGCGGCCATTTTGAGGCACTTCTAGGCGCATTACAGGGTGAATCTATAGTGCAAATGAAACAGCAACTCTTTAGCTTTAAACTCATACAAAGAAACTAAATCTGATCTTGTAGTGTAAGTACAGATTAAAAAATTTACTCAACACGCGCAACCAGATCCCCACTCTTTAATGCTCTAAGGCTCTTCTTGTACCTTATCTGCCGCATTCACACATAACTCTTCATCTGTTTCCCAGGAACCAAACAGCAAATCCTTGAATTGTCGAACGGTGATTTCTGCTCGAGTCCATTTTGACTTATCCTTGGATGACGTAACCCTTTGGATGCTCGCCTCGTTACTATCTCTCATAATAAACTTATGGACCAGAGTTTTCCTACAGTAATAAATACAAAAATCTACATACTATTTCCAAAACTATTTTACACAAAAATTCGATCAACCATTTCCAACCAATAAATAAACTTACAGCAGGTCAACTTCATTTGATCCAAAATAAAAGTAAAACTTTTTACTTTACAATAACGCTATCAACAAAAACTGTTTTATTAATTTTAAAAAGAAACTAATGAAATTATATAATTTACCTTCAATAAATGGAGAATCCACTTGTATTTCAGTGCCTCAGAGAATTTCTTCATCTTTTAACCTTCCAAACTTCCAAATCCGGGATGTTATCCGAAATTTTACTCATAACAAAGCTACCAATATAAAAATCTTCTTTGTTTACTGGTGGTAACTCAAACTGCAACTTTTCTTGTCTTTGCTGCCTTCTGCCCTTTGGCGGTGTAGATGTCTGCTTCACAACAATTGGATAATCATAATTCATTGTAGAAACATACATTGTAAAGAAAATGTATAAAAACTTCTTCAGATAGTTATCACCTAAAAAGAGGAATGTTTCAGTTAAAAGTAACAAAGTAAAACTTGACTAAAATACTTACACAAATCAATACGCCCGTATCACTACTACACTGCCTAAGTTTAAAACACTATACTAATTGATTAATATATCTTGTAGTGTAAGTACAGATTAAAAAATTTACTCAACAACACGCGCAACCAGATCCCCACTCTTTAATGCTCTAAGGCTCTTCTTGTACTTCATCTGCCGCATTCACACATAACTCTTCATCTGTTTCCCAGGAACCAAACAGCAAATCCTTGAATTGTCGAACGGTGATTTCTGCTCGAGTCCATTTTGACTTATCCTTGGATGATGTAACCCTTTGGATGCTCGCCTTGATACTATCTCTCATAATAAACTTATGAACCATAGTTTTCCTACAGTAATAAATACAAAAATCAACATACTATTTCCAAAACTATTATACACAAAAATTCAATCAACCAATTCCAACCAATAAATAAACTTACAGCAGGACATCTTCATTTGATTTTCCAAAATCCAAGTAAAACTTTTTACTTTGCTATAAAGCTAACAACAAAAACTGTTTTATTAATACCAAAACTAATAAAATGATGTAATTTACCTTTAATAAATGGAGAATCCACTTGTATTTCAATGCCCTGGAGAATTTCTTCATCTTTTAACCTTCCATACATCCAAACCTGTGTTGTTATCCGAAATGTTACTCATAATAAAGCTACCAATATATAAATCTTCTTTGTTCACTGGTGGTAACACAAACTGCAACTTTTCTTTTCTTTGCTGCCTTCTGCCCTTTAGCGGTGTGGATTTCTTCTTGACAACAATTGGATCATCATAATTCAATGTAGAAATATACATTGTAAAGAAAATGCGTAAAAACTTCTTCAGATAGTTATCACCTAAAATGAGTAATGTTTTGGGTAAAAGTAACAAAGTAAAACTTGAGTAAAATACTTACACAAATCAATACGCCCGATTCACTACTACACTGCCTAAGTTAAAAACACTATACTAATTGATTAATATGTTATAAAACATATAAAAAACTACTTATTTTGTTAAATAATTGCTGCACAACTGCACCAGCATGCACACTTTTTAGAGGTTAGAGTTGATACAAACCACGCTTGAAAATACTTCAGAAATTTTCACTTAGAGGGCGCTACCGGCAGGCTTCTCAAAACCAAGTGATACGCATCAAATCCAAACTAAGAAATAAACAGTTTAAACATTGTTTACCGCAACAAACAACAACCAAATCATTTTTAACAAATAAAATATACATATTTACATCGAAAACAATACATTTTATAGCTTAAACAACTCGATTTGTTAAAAAAATATTTGAATTTAACACAAATCATGCCACACTCTATCTATACTGTTTCATATTTCTACCGACAGAAGTCGCCACCACTTAAACTATCACCATAGGCAACTTAAACAACATATTCATATACCGGGTGTACCAAACCACAAAAATCAATAAAACACTAATAATTAAATAAAACCAGCAATATCCATTTTGCTTAGAGTATATTTATACAATAATATAATACAATTGTTCATTCTTTTATTCCACCGCGTCCACGTCGTGTTGTTTAATTATTTCTTAAACTTCGTTTATCAATATTCATATATTGTATAGTATAGTATCTTCAAAAAGTTCATATAACAAAATCGAATCGCTTTCAAATGCATTTGTTTATTTATTTAAATATTCGCGCGCACTGCATTCAGTTATCATTAATTATTAGAGGCCTTCATTTACGATTTTTTTGTTTTTCATTGAAATTTTCTTAGTAAACCTTTGTTATTAATAATAATCATCATCATCGCCGCTCCTTAGTAGAGATAATAATCTTATACAATTGTTTATTTACTCTTAACGTGTACGGTGAGTGTAAATGTAGATTTATTCCTTGTTTCGTGTATGTGTGAGAGATGTGCGCATGCGCGCTAGCGTATCATGTATCTGTGTGTTGTGTGTTGAAAGGGTTGCAGCATTACACGCGTTTAGTATGAAAAATTACACATCAACTTTTGCTTCTTCTTTTTTCTCCCGGGGGGCATTCGTTTAGCTTTAATAGATCACATCGTCACATCAACCTCTCGTCACGCTCTCACTCATCAATAATTAATTATTTTTTTCATGTTCAATATATAAATATTCTCTAGTTTAGTTTCGTGTGTCGGGGTGGTGGTACGTTCAGGGCAACATAACCAAACATACACAATACACAAGGGATCATACAGGGTGTCGTGTGAAATTCATCTCGTTACTAGTAAATGTAAATATAGATGTAGACATTTGGTTGCATTGTTAAGTTAGGTTATGACACTTGTTTGCTTCGTTCAAGACAGAGTATTGACAGTTATTACGTTTAATGCGGCGCTTAATTTATAAGTCATGCTTACGATGCGTGAGTTAAAGAGAGAAAGATTAGTTTACATATGAGAGAGAGTTACAAATATATGCGCATACAGTGTGTTTCGAGTGGTGGAGATCAGATCAATCAGAGTTGGCACTAGATACTTATCGGACAGAAACACAGAGGTAAAAATAATAATATATTGCAATAAAAAATAAATATGTACAAAATCATAAAAAAGTGGACAGGGATTACATATAAATATTACAAAAAATAAAAATCAAAATAAAAATCAAAATTCGTCGATGATTCGCCGTGTTACAACATCCGAAAGCTATGGGCGCCTAAACGGTAAGTATCTTATCACTTATCACCTAATAAAACTATATGAACATTACTAAAATTTGTATCGTTTTAAGTCGCAACTTGTGTTTGATGTTTGTCATCGCTTATTTCAACCCGAGCGTAGTGTATATTATTCAAAACACGCCTACTTTTCACAAAAATGCATCAAATTATCACAATTGTTATTAATATAAACAAAAAATAGCAAAATCTGGCGCAAAATCATCAGTCTCGTTGTAGTTGTGTAATATTTGTACTAAAACCATTTTTTAATAAATAATTAATTATTATTTAATAACAAAATGGCTGTAATTATTCTTATTATAAATATTGTTAGTTGTGAAATATTTAAATCATAAAAACATGGCGTGTTTCGATTAAAATTCTCTGATTGGCTGCTCAAAGTAGGCGTGTTTCCTGCACATGCTCCGCCCCCTTCGTAATTCAGCGTCCGTTAAACGTTTAACAATAAATTATAATTAGGAATACTCATATTGGCAATATACGTAGCTATTTTACTTACACTTAATCGCTATATGTACAAAAAACACTTTGCCGCGGGCGCGGGGCAGTCGCGCGGCCACGCCCCGACGCTTACGGACCAATCGAACATGTATGTATTTCTCTATAACCTCAAAACACACCTAGAGAAAAGTCGCAAGAGGGCGTGGCTCCACACACTCGGGTCTATCTGCAATTCAATTGGACGGTTTGCGTTCGCAGTATAAACATTTTCTTATAAATCCTACTGCAAACTGTTTTTAATTTCTTTTTAAATTTAATTTAATAATTATGACGATGAGTAAAAAATGTGATGTTGAACGAAAAAATAAATAAATGTTTCTCAGTCTGAACCATTGACAACGCGCAGCACCGTGCCAAATCACAATTTCCTAACACAAATAGGCCTAAAAATTTCCACATCATCAATTAATAAAAAAGATATTAATCTAAATAATCTAAAGCCTTTTGTTCGTTCCAAGTCAATACGTAAATCTGCTTTCAAAAAACAAATTCAATGTGTGTATGTGTGTGTGTGTTGTGTGTATTACGCTATGTACAATAAAAAAGGATTCACTTAAAACACAGACAAGGACACCACGCACTAAATACGCATTGCATTTTGTTTTTCGTTATTAATTTCTTAATAATTTTTTGCGTCTGCAATATATACGCCGAGTTCGAGTCTAAAAATTCGTAAACACCCGTCGAGTAAATCGTTTAAGTACGGAGAGACAGACAGAAAATGGTACCGTGGTCTTACTCGTAGTTTCTCCCACCTTCTCGTGAGGGTCACACCTCGGCAATGTCCCCCTCGGCGGTGACGAATCAGGCGTCCGAGTAGTGGTTGACGTCGTTGAGGATGGCGTGCTTGTGCCGCTTGGCGCGGTCATTGTACTCGAGGTCCTGCATGTGCCTGAAGCGCACGAAACCCTGCTCGTCGACGATCATCGTCTCGGTGAGGTTGGGATTCGGCTGACCTTGGGCACCACCAGTCTGACCCAAAATCGGTGGTGTGTGTCTATCGTGACTCGGCAGGGTCTGCACCCCGAGATGTGGCCGTGGATGATTCTTCCTGCTGCGGCCCGTGGTGGACCTACGACCTGAAGTATTGGATGAGTTCCGGCTGCGGCGATCGAAGTCATTCCGTTCGAACTCATGCCGCGTGCGCTCGTATTGATTCTGGTCCACTGGTTCCGAGTAGGGGTTCTCTTGTTGGTGTTGCGCGTATTTGGGCTTGTAATACTTGGCAGTGTCGTAGTTCTTATGCCCGTTGGAGGTGCTTCTCGAGGAGGTAGACACTCTATCAAAACCCATCCTCTCCGAGCCCCATTTCGGGCGTTCGAATCTTTCAAAATCCCGATCACGATCCCTCTCCAAAGTACCTCCGGAATTATTCGAACCACTACCTGTACCCGCAGCAGAAGAAGGTTTCTTCATATCGAAAGACCCATCAGGGTACCCATGCCCATTGTGTCCCACATGCCCGTTTTGTGTAATATTCATCCCTAGTCCCATATTCAAATGATTCACATCATCTCTATCCCGATCCCTATCCCTCTCCTGATGACGATTCAACGTATCCAGGACCATCTCCTGCCGGCTGTAGTTCATCGCATTCGGGTTACTATTGCAGTTGTTCGGATACATATTATCACTGGAGGTCTCACTGGTCGTACAGGGGAAGAGTTGTAATCCACCTGTTTGTTTCTCCCTCTGTGACAACCTCAACGAGACCACAACCACCAGCAGAGTGATGATGCAAATCTCAATGAACCTCACACTCAGCTCAAAAGACCACAGGATCCAATGGTGTTTAATCTCAGCATCAAAGCGATCAACTTTGATGAAGAACAACGCGTAGAGTTGTACAACTCCCAAGAGGATAAACAACAGTGCAACCGCAATGGTAATATGCGAAGCGTAACTCGTACGGGCCGTGCACTCCTCACTCAAATTCTGCGACTTCTTCGCAAGGACATTCTTGATGATTTTATAGAGGTACAGATAACTCACACCAAGACTCCACGCAAGCAGAACAAAAATGGTCTTGCAGAAGACCAAAGACGCTTTATCGAAGTACCCCAGAGTCTCCAGTAAACTAGACGTGAAGCACAGCATAATATGCAGGAGACCAAACAGGACCAGAAACACCGGACGAGTTTTAACCTTCAAATGAGTCAAAGTGTGTTTCAGGAGAAACAGGATCAGAATCGCAAAGGTAGTCGCCAGTAAACTCAGGGGGAAGTTATGCAGGAAATCATAGAGGAATACATTGAAGGACCTCTCAACATTATAAGGATCATACGTGAGATAGAAGATCCTCAATACGCAGATGACAGTCAGCATCAGATGAATGGTCAGGAAGTAACTCTTCGTGAACATATGCGGGTCATTCTCATACCTCACCAGTTTGTAAATGGAATAAATCGCAAGCAGGATATAGCACAATACCACGAGATAGACATGTACATTCCAAGCGATGAACCATATCTCATCCGAAGACGCTTTGGTCACATTGGGAGCAATGACATTCGGCAAATTAAACTCTGAAGACTGTGTAGTCAGGTCCACATTCTCCATGAGGTCCTTTTTGGGTTTCTGAACAATCACAGATTCAGAACGTTCTTTTTCTTCTCTACGATTACCTCCAGAACCTGATGATACCCCACTACCTATTGCAGGTTGTAGAGGTATATCCCTCCTCGGTTCATCACCTTCATCCCTCTTGGGAGGTGTCCCCGCAGGTGGGGGTACAGCAGCTGCTGCTTCCGGTATCTGCTCAATATGTCTATGCTGCTGTTGAATCTTGGTACTCTGCTCAACGGAACTCGGATTCCTCGTCTTTTTATTCTCACTCTTCGATGTGCTAGGCGTGGCTGTGACCGTCCTGAGTAGGATATCAGGTATATCATCCCGTCGGCCATTCGACCCGGAAAGTATCCTGGTTATTGAAGGTATGTAGGCCTTTTCATACTCAAACGTGGATTCATTATGTCGATTCAATCCATAAAACTCTCCTAGGTGATCAACTTTCGCATTCTGCGATGGTGTATTGAGAGATTTTTTCTTCTCCTTGTCTTTATCCTTATCATCATTGGTGTGGTTCTTGATGGTGTGTTCCAGGGAAGGCATACTCCTCTCTGGAGTTCTTTCCCTTTCCATGTTGATCACTTTACTCGGGGGTAAATCAGGCCGGAAAGGAATCCGATCCTTATTCGGCATGAGACTCGGTGGGGGTATGGGTCTCCTATTCGCGAACCCATCCGAATTGGTTCCCCTCAACGTGGGTTTATCAGCAAACGGATTTAAATACTCCGGAGGTAACGGAGGAGTAAAAAAGGTCCTACTCGGTGGAACATAACTAGGAACGTCTTTACTATAGATACTCTTCGTAGGTCTCACATTCCGCAGCGCATTCATCGTGGTGGTCTTGACCATGGGTACCTCGGTAACACCCTCAGCTGATCCACCCGGATAACTCTCATAGTGTGGTTTACTCCGGTCGTTTTTATACCGATTCGGATTATCATAATTCTGATTATTATTGTTTTTCAAGATATCCGCGGCTGGGGCACTCGTGGGCAGGACATGGTCCTTCTCCAAGTCACTCCCATACCCACCATTGTCGTAATTCTCTTCGTAGTCAAAATTCGACCGGGGTATCTCCCGATTCTCGGGGGTTTTCACATCCACGCGGAGGTATTCATCCGCACCGTCCGTGTAGCGGAATGTGGTGAGGAAGGGTGTTGCTAGTGTGGTCACTGGGTAAGCATTGTCCGGAATGGACCGCTTCGTGGTGCTCCCATAAGCGACTTTTTGCAGGACCGCCGCAATGCTTTGTTCCAGGTTGATCCGATCAAGGAGTTGTTCGGTTTTGTCGAATTCGTTGCCGAATGCACCGACGGATGTGAACATTGACGTGACGATGAGGAGCCATGTGAGTATCACGGACAGCCACCACATGATGGATGTGGAGGATGAAGCACCACCACTACCGGAATTAGCACTAGGTGAGTTTATATTCCGCCGCGGTTTGAGGAGTGTTTTGTGCTGTGCCGTGCATGTGTCACAGTTGGTTGAATCACAGGGTTGTAGTTGTAGGAGGCGGTCGGTGGGGGTGTGACTATGAACGCCAGCGTCCATCTCGTACGGGGGCAGAGTTTCACGCATTTTTAGTTTAGGTTGATTTTATTATTCACACTTATGTTCGTATACTAAATGTTTTTTGTTTTAGGTTTTGTTTAGTTTACGCTGTCTTTTAAGCCGGATCTGGAATTAGAAGAAAATATAGAATTAGTGATAAATTTATATTTAGGGGTGAGAAATATCGGTATTCATATTCATTACCGGTATAATTTAATTTGTAAATACCGGTTTTTAAGAATAAAGTTCTTATAATGTCGAAAGTTGTGCAACTTAATTAGATTTTCTTAGAAACTAAATATTAATTAAATTGCTCCTGCTTTATCGAATGAATATAATCACGTATATTTAATTATAAATTGTAATATTAGACGATATATAAAATGAAGAAAAACGAATGGTTTTCTAGTTACAAAATGATAGTCAATTTAAAAGTGCCGCCATTTTGAAACGACTAAAGATACGAATCTGTTATTGATATCGTTAAAACTTACATTCATCTTATATCAAATAATAATTGAATCATAAATTTATCTCTGCTAGTTTATGTTTTATCCAACTTCAAAGTTTATATAATAATCCGGTATGAAAGTAATAAATGAAAAATATACAACTTTATACTTTGAACTGCCGCCATCTTGAAACTGCTGTGAATATTACTTCATAATTTATGAGGACAATATTTTATTTTATCTTTTATCAAATATTTTTTGAAACATAAATTTATCACCGCTAGATTTTGTTTTATTCAACTTTAAAGTTGTCATATTTTATTTGTTTAGTGAAACAAAAAAGAACATTTAATTTGACGCCATTTTGAAACCACAATAACCATGAAGTTGAATTTGATAAGGATGATAGTTCAATTAATCCTTTATCAAATAACAATTGAATTATAAATGTAACTTTGATAGTTTATGTTTTATTCAATTTCAAAACTAAAATAATAAAAAAAAAATTAAAATAAAAAATAAAAACAGATTTTTTTGCCTGAATTGCTACCATAAAACTCCAAAATCAAATTGAAAATATTCTAAATTAATCAAAATAATTATTTATTGATTTAATAAACACCGCCAACCAAACCAAAATACCGACATTGAACTCAACCCTCACACCCTACTTGCAAATCCACGATATTTTAGTAAACATAAAGTTTAATCCAAACATCTCCAAAAACTTTATTTCGCGCTTAAAACTTAAATCTCAGCACTTAGGCGCACAAGAAGCAAAGTAACGCAAAGTAAAGTAAACCTAAATAGATAATCCGCAAATCCCGGATATTACATCTCAATCGCATCTTGTACCTTACCTACTTCTCATGCATATATAACAACAACACCCCAAAAAACATTCATTGTAGTACAACTAAAATTTCCCGAAAATTTTCAAAACGCACACCTTTGCTAATCCGAACAAAATCTAATTACAAAGCCCAACATTCCCAACTCCATCCGAGCGGCAACGGACAAAAGCCCAGCAGATGTACCCAACGACATTAAAAATTGGCTACAAATTGAGAAGTGAGGAACCACCCAAAACCCACACACACACATACATACACACATCCAAACTCACTAGAAAGAAAGAAAGAAAGAAAGAGAATTGAAGAATGTAGAATTTACTTCTTCTCTACTTCTTCGCATAGAGAGGCAAAGAGAGCTAAAACCTTCACAAGAATGCACACCGACGACGACCACCACTCGAAAGCGTGCAAACAAAGCGAGCGTCACGCCGAAGCGAAACAGCAAGCACCACACAGCCAGCACACAGAGCGAAAAGAAAGGAGAAGAAGCCAGCGTGAACTGGAGTTCACAACGCGCGCGCTCCACAGCCTAATAACGGTATACACAAGAAGTGTACAAGCGGCAGAAGAAGCCCAAGCAGCTCAAGAATGTTTCCAGCCTGCGCTCGGTTCATAAATGTGTATCTAATGCACGATGGCGACGGCACCACAACCACCACCACCTCACTACACTCTGTATATATGTGTGTGAGTGTAAGAGTGTGGTTGTAAAATATTTTACCGCCTGGTGCGCCCAGTACAAGTATTCTCGATTCGAATACTTGGCTGCGAGGTGCGCGCATCGAAGATTGTGCATCTCACGAAGCAGCCAACGACATGAAAGCCTAAATGCCGAGAGACCGAGTACGAGTACCACCACCACTACTACTACAACATGTATATTTGTGTGTTGTATATGTGGATAAGTTTGTATCGAGTATTGAGTTACGCGGGCACCGCACAACCGCCGAGCGAAGACTGTAATGTACATTTTTTTTCGTTTTCAACTTGATGCTTTTTTCTTTTTCTCGTCGAGGAAGACTCCGCTCGCTCCGAGCTCGCAACATACAGATACAGCTAGCTATTGCTCTTTGATGTTGTTAGCTTCCAAGCTTTTGTATGTGTGTGTGTGTGTGTGTCTCTGTGTAATTGTTCATGTACGTGGCTGAAAGTGTGCAACTAGAACTAGGTGTTTTTCTCTTCGGCAGCGCGGGTTTTTTTTCTCAAAAGCCGCGCGTTTGAAGTCATCGTTCATGCACAAGCGACAACGGCAGGAAGGAATAAAAAATGCGCGACACGGCAAAGATTCGTCACCGTGTTGGTATTTTTTATGTTTTTTTTTTGTGTTTTTTGTTTCTGGAGAGATATTACTCATTCTTTTAGGCTTCAACATGATGTCAAATTCACATCATAATCAAAAATATGGCATAAAAAAGAAAAAATAAGAGGAGAATATAAATTCTATTTGTTTGGTGGGTGTAAACATTGGTGTGGTCCATGGTCCATGAGGACATCAGAAGTTAAGTGTTAATGCACATTGTTTACATTTGGCTAACTAGCTAGCTAACTCCAACGTAAACATTCCCATTGGTATGGTGTGGATTTGTGTACATTACTCTTCTTCTTTTTCTTTTTTTTTTCTTATGCGGGTGTTGGTAAAGTTAAAAATTCTTGTTATGTTTATATTGAAGTGAACCCTTTCAATTTTTTTTATCAAAGCCTATTTGATTAATGGGAAGTAAACATTCGCGTTATTAATAACAATATAAAAAGTTTTTTCGGAGAATTTTTAAGTTCTCCAGATTATTTTAAACTTTAAAGTTCTATAAATCATGAACTATAAGAGATACGTTTACGATTCAATCATTATTTGGTAAATGATGAATGTAAGTATTAACCATATTAATTACAGTTTCATGATTAGGGTTGTTTCAAAATGGCGGCTGTTTTAAGTTGACTTTACTGTGTTCCAAGGCGAATAAATAATAACAACTTTAAAATTAAATAAAACAAAAACTAGCAGAGATAAATTTGAAATTCAAAAAATATTTGATGAAGAGTTAAATGGAGAATCATCCTTATAAATTTTGAAGTTATGTTGACAGCAGTTTCAAGATGGCGGCAATTCAAAGTTGATATTTAGGGGAGGGTGGGGCAAAGTGGGCCCCAAAAGCGAAAAAAGGGAATTTGTTTACTTTTTTTTACTCGTTACACTATTTTTTACATCCTTGTTCAGTATTCAATATTAATAAGACGTGTCTATTAAAATAAAAAAAAAATCAGAATATGGGGCAAAGTGGGCCCCCACTCATAAAAATTAGGCTCTTACCTTTGTATCAATTTTTTGCTTATATTATTTTCTTTTTTTATTTCTTACTTCGAATTTGTTGTGGATAAGTTGTTCTTGCAACTTCATCTTATATATCAAAAATTTTAGGGGGCCCACTTTGACCCTCAATTTTTTAAGCCTCCTGAATTTCAGGGGGCCCACTTTGCCCCCCCTTCCCCTACTTATTTTCATTTCTTAGTTTCACACCGGATTATTATCAACTGTAAATTCGAATAAAACATAAACTATTCGAAATAAATTTATAATTTAATTGTTATTTGATAATCAGTGAATTTAAGTATCAACCTTATCAATTATATATTCCTAGCACCCGTCGTCTGAAAATGGCGTCACTTTTAAATTAACTTTCATGTTTTACCACAAAAAAACTCTTTCAATTTTTTATCAAAGTCTATCAATCTAATGAAAAGTAAACACGGACTTTATTTTAATAACAATAGAAAAAGTATTTTCCCCGCGCTGAGTACATATTGTTCATATATTACAAGTTTTTTTTTTCAATGTTTGAAGTTCGTGAGAAAAATCTCCGACGAGAAAACCGCAAAGTGATCGTAAATTTCACGATTGCACATACACGATGGGAAAACAAACACGTGTGCCAAATGGAGATAAATGTAAATATCGGCTGGCAGATGCCGGCTGCGCAAAATATGCGCTAATAAGAAAAAGATAAATGTTTAAAGTTTTTGCGCCCAAGAAAAACAACAAAAAACTTAACTAGGCAACCCTCACAACATAACATAATAAATAAAGACCCATATATGAAAATCAATAACTTTTAGTTACTATTAATTTATTTTACGATGAATAGAAATATATAACCAATCATTTATTGATTTATACTACCCTTTACTCATTACTGATTATTATTAACTTTGAAGTTCGATAAATGATGAACTATAAGAAATAAATTGATATTTCAAAAAAATATTTGATAAGAGATAACACGAAGAATCTTTCGTATAAATTATGAAGCTATATTGACAGTAGTTTAAAGATGGCGGCGATTCAAAGTTGAAATGTGCTTGCTTTTCATTTATTACTTTCATACCGAATTGTTATAAACTTTGAAGCTGAATAAAATAAAAACTAGTAGAGATAAATTTATAATTTAATCAGTATTTGATAAAAGATTAATATAAGAATTACCCTTATCAATTACAGATTCGTAGCTACGGTGGTTTCAAAATGGCGTCAAATTTAAATTTATTTTTATGTTTACCCAACCAAATAAAACATGACAACTTCAAAGTTTAATAAAACAAAAACCACCAGAGATAAATTTATGATTCAAAGAATATTTGATAAGAGATAAAGTAAAGTATCATCCTTGTGAATAATGAAGTTGTATTGCAAATAGTTTCAAGATGGCGACAATTCAAAATCAAAATTTGCTTATTTTTAATTTATTACGTTTCACATCCCCGAAAAATGAGCAAAAACAGAAATAACAATATCCAGGCAAACCTCGCAACATAACAATAACAAACCCACATATCTCAATCAATAAACATTAATTAATATTCATTAATTTCACTCTAAATTGAAATATATCACCAATTATTCCCAAACATCCATTCAAAGTGTTAATTTTAATTAATCCTCCGCCATTTTGTTATCCAGCAACAAATAAACATAAAATTAATCACCATAACAGCCAATAAACCAATCAATCTATCCACGTTCATTTTACTACTCTATCTTCAATACTTCATATTTTATTCGCCTCTAAACTTGCAAACAACTGTGACTCAAGTTAAGCCACTTACCTTGCAATAAATAATCCTATAGTATATCACAATGTAATCACAAAACAAGTTACATAAACTTTTCCTAATAATAAACTATCACAGTATCTTTGGTTGGTTGAACAATTAATCCACTATCACTTGACTTTGAGTTCTTTTCATGATCGCGACGTGATCATGGCGACTGTTAGCGTTCGACTGACTTAACGCCCAGCGCACCAACAAGCGGACTGCACCTTTTCTCCTTCCATCTTTTTCTTTAGCATATTACAATGTGAAAGTAAAAGAGAGACGGAATCAAACCTGCCCAGTGTGATGTTTGAGTTTTGAAGTTGAACCAAACAAACGGCTTCCAAGTCTCAAGTCAACTCAAAACTCCAACTACTGCAGCAATACAAGTTGGCATGACTTAAAAATAAGTCATAAACTACTTACGGTGGTTGTATATCACTCGCATCTCTCAGCCAACCAAACAATTATTACAATTGCGAATGTAATACAATAGATGTGTCCTTCGATGTCAAAATGTAAATACATTCATAACTGACTTAGGTTAAGTTATATTCTGCGCAAGTTCCGAAAATTTTAAGTACTTTACGAAGGGTAATAAAAACATTATTATGTTGTCGCCTACAAGAATGATTTCAGGGTGTGTCACGCACATTTTTGCGGAATTTTCGGAGGTGGGCCTGGGCCAACGCGAAGACACAGCGCTCCGCTTCCTGAGAAATTGTAAAATGTGGAAATCAGTGTGTAATGTGACTTAACCGTACGCATTTAATTTGTGGAAAGGTTATGTACGCATTAAAGTATCTATTACATTTGGTTTTAATGTCTCGAGCCGGCTTTTATGGACTGTTAACGCTTTTTATTTTGATTTTTTGAAAGACTTGAAAGTTTAAGTCACTTTTATATCGGACATGATCACGATGAACTTTAACGGCGTATAAAATGCAAAGTAATTAAGTTGATGGCGTGAATGTGACGGTATTTTACAGGGGGTGAAAATAGGTATTAATAGTGTTAGATTTTGTTTTGTGTTCAAAATGGTGGCGGTTTAAAGTTTATATTTGTTGTTTAGTAAAAATAAAAAGCAGAAGAGGTTTGAAGTTGAATAAAATGGAAACTAGAAGAGATAAATTTATAACTCAAAGGTTATTAGATAAGGGATTAAGTGAAGTATCATTGTTGTAAATTATGAAGTTGTGATGTAAGCAGTTTCAAGATGGCAACACTTTTGATTTGATATTCGCATTTGATTACTAATTATTATAAACTTTAAAGTTTAATAAAACAGAAACTATCAAAGTTATACTTATAATTCAAAGAATATTTGATAAGGGATGAACTGAAGTAACATTGATAAGAATTATGAAGTTGTGATGTAAGCAGTTTCAAAATGGCGACACTTTAAAGTTGAAATTTGCGTATTTTTCAGTTACCTATTTTTATGCCTGATTATTTCAACTTTTAAAATTGAATAAAACATAAACTACTAAAGTTACATTTATAATTCAATTGTTATTCGATAAAGGATAAAGTGAACTATCGTCCTTATCAAATTCAACTTCACGGCTATAGTACTTTCAAAATGGCGTCAAATTAAAGTGTTCTTTTATGTTTTATTACGCAAATAAAACTGATAACTTTAAAATTGAATAAAACAAAAACTACCGGAGATAAATAAATATTTCAAAAAATATTTGATAAAAGATAAAATAAAGAATCGTATTTATAAATTATGAAGTAATATTGACAGCAGTTTCAAAATGGCGGCAATTCAAAGTTAAAATTTGCTTATTTCTCATTTTGTACTTTCACACCGGATTATTATTAAACTTTAAAGTCGAATAAAACATAAACTAACATAAATAAATTAATGATTCAATTATCATTCTATAAGGGGTGAATGTAACTATCACTCAACCATTCACAAACTATTAAACAATAAACAAAATAAAAACTATTACCATAATAAGAGAAGAAAGTTAAAAAAAAAAACATTTTTCCCATAAACCTCGCCTAAAAATACCCAAACAAAAATATTCCTAGATGTCACCTCTAGATTCGACAGATAATTAATGCCTTCACATAATAATATCTTAATGAGTGATTAAAAATAGACTTGCAGGGAAATTATGACTGATGCTCATCACGATAAACTTCTCCTCAAACTTTCAATCCTCTCAAACAGAGCAGAAGAGAAGCGCGACACAAAATTTAAACTCCAACTCCAACTCCAACTGCAACTTAACTTGTGCCTTCCATGTTTATTTTTTCCTCTTCCCGGGGCACAACTCAACTCAACTCACAACTCTTGTACCTCATAGCATAGCAACATAGCAGCATGTGTCTGCAAGTCACTCCAGTCGTTACGACTCGCACACCCCAGCACCCCCTCAACCCTCACAACGTCACGGTACATCTGTCCCCTGAATGTTTCTCTATGCGCGTCTCGTGTCGGCAGTCAACAACTTCCCAGGGCGGCACAAGTGGAACTCTCCACTTCTCATCCACGACTTTTGAAAACATTGACGGAATTTTCGATACCGGAAACAAACTTTCCAAGCAGTCCCATGGCGCATACCGGAAGTTAAACTCTCCTCCACTCTACTTGAAACACTTTTTAATAACAAGTGTAATAAACTTAAAATTATAAGGTGTTGTCCTCTCAAGAGAAGTAAAACTAGAGAAGCACTAGAGGAGGTTAAAGATGTGATAATGCGATATCTACGTTTACGTCTCATTGCATCCACTCGCTGGGTGCTTTTGTGTGTGGATGAGAACGTCACGAAATTTGAAATAGTAGAAATATCAAGATTGAAACGCGCTGATAAATCATCCAAAGCTGAGCAGCGTCGGTGAGCATTTATAAACATTCGAAAAGTGTGACGATGGCAGTCATAGTCATACTTCTACTTCTAGCTACATAGAGTTTGAAGGTCCGCACGGAGTAAAAGTTGAACGAAGCGTGAAGAAATCTTATTCTGTTTTCTTACATGTATTCTATAGATGTGAGAAGGATGGTTGATGCGGATGACCGTAATGGGACCATGGCGAAGCATATTTTGTTTCGGTTGCTGGACTACAGCTCCAGCTCTAGTCTTGTGAGTTGTGTAGTTAATATATAATAATGTGTGCGATTTTAAGCGCTAATTCCGAATCTATTATGGTGATAATCCGGGCGTAATCCAATGAAAGGCATCTGTCCGTCTGTCTTCTGTTGGAGATTTAGATTTCGGCAATTGTATTGCTTGAGTATTGAATTCAGTGAAGCATGCACAGAATGTGCATCAATAGAATATGCGATTTTGTTTTTGTGTTGTAGGAGTTGTAGGAGTAAGAGGGAGATGTGAGATGATTTCTGTAAAAGTGGCCGATTCGGAGCGAGCGGACATTTGCGTCGGGGCCGTGGCTAATGATTGCGCATTAAGCGATTATTTATGATCGCTCTCTCCGGGCGGATGGCGGCGTGTAGGAAAGAGCAGTGGGTAGTAGTGAGGAGCGTTTTGCTTCCGTCTCTCCCTGTGTGTTTGGTTGTGTATGTGTGAGTGTGTCGAATGTTGCGCGGCATTTTCGGCCGATTCGGGCGGTTTTTATTGCCCGGACAATAATAGCCTTCCAGCCCCTCAGTATGCGCACGGGACATCGCATAATGTGTGGCATAACGTTATGTCTATCTTCGGCAAATATTACACCAAGGAGGGTGTGACGGGGAAATTTTACAAATTAGAAATCGATGAAATTGCAGTGGATGATGTTTGAGTTTGCGAAATTTTTGTGTTTTGATATTTATTTTCATCCCTTATTAGGTACCTGATGTTTGATTTGGGTTTGGGATGTTTAAATTTGTTTTAAACATTTTGCGTTTTTAATTTACTTATTTTTGAAATTAGCACTTTCAACCCTCATAACTCACCCATTTTTCAACAAATTGTTCCAATTCTTGTTTTAAATAATATTTTAACTATCTGAGAATGAATATTGTAAACTTCAAACATATATCAACATTCCTTCTATGTCTAATTCTGATATAAACATTTTAGGCATTATTTTTTAATTATATTTTTGATATTGTCACTTTCATCCCTTATAATTCAGATATTTATCAATATATTTGGTTCATTTTACTTTTCAATTATAATATAACTCTCCTAGATAATATATTATCAATTTCAAACATTTAGCAACATTCTATTGTCAATATACGCAAAAAAAAAAAACGAAATTTTTAACATATTGAGTATTAATGGAAATGTTTTCCATTGCTTGTGCGAGACACTCAATCATTTTATTAGTCCTAATGTTGTTTTGTTAGAATAGAAGAGGCACTATCGATTTATGAATTTATAAACAAGTCATAAAGTCATACATCACGCCGAATGGGAGCAATAAACAGTCGTAAACCTGAATATTCTAGAGCTGGAGGAGCAGCGCGCGAACGCCTCGTGCGTTTCGTGTCGGATTCTTTTTATTGACAGCTTAATTGTTCTCATTTGTTATCGATTCATGTTTATGGCCGTTTGTTTGTAGTTTACTAGCGGTCACTTCATTTGAAACACGTGTGAAAATATGTATCTGGGATATTGTTGAAAAAATGCAGTTACGTATGGAATAAATGTTGATAAATGTTTGATATTGATGAATGTTATATTTATAGAGTTGTAGTTGAGTGTAGTGGAAGAACGAGGTGGATTTGTTGGAAAATGTTTGAGTTATGAGGGTGGAAAGTTGAAATTTATAAGAAAATGTGTGCAAAAAATGTTTATAACAATATTAAACATTGAAGAAATGTTGCTAAATGTATGAAATGAACAATATATGTTCTAGGGGAGTTAATGTTTAATTTAAAACAAAATTTAGTCAAATATGACAAAAAATATTTGAGATATAAGGGTTGAAATAAAAAGATTGAAAAAAAGGTCTTGAAATGAAGACATAAAATGTTTGCAACAATTTTAAACATAGAAGCAATATTGCTAAATTGCTAAATGATTGAAACGCACAATATACAATCTTGAATAGTTATAGTTTAATTTAAAACTAAATTTAGAAAAATATGATGAAAAATATTTGAGTTATAAGTAATTAAAGTAAGAAATTCATAAAATTCTACGATTTTGCATTCAAATGTTTATAAACGAAATAATAATTGAAGATAAATTGCAAAATGACTGAAATTTTAA